GGTGCGTTGTGTCAGCGTGTACGGCCGGCGCCGTTTTTGCCGCCCCAGTACGTGCGGTAGATAAGATGAACGGTGTCGGGAGGCCGCTTCTCTTCCTTTGTGTGATAGCTGTGACTATTTTCGCGGCCCGGCATTTACTGTGGATGGCTGTAGCTTTGGATTTTGCGGGCACGGCGTCTTGCCTTCGTCTTGTTGTAGCTCTTGGTAATATGGTGCTTTCAGTGTGTTTTTTTTTCTTCACCACCGCGTTCAATTACGTTCTTGTTTCCACGGTGCTGGCGTAGTGCGTGATTTACTCAAATGGCCGAGCTGTCTTTAACCAATACCTTGTTCATTTGTTGGCAATATACTTGGTGCGGCTTCGAGTACTGGCAGGTATCTCAGCGGAACTCAATTACGACATCATCAGGGCTACAAACAACGGTGACTGTGTGTCTTTCTGCGGGGCCTACACCTCATCTGCGTTGATGATTTGCTGACCTTTTGCGAGGGTTGCCGCTTGTTTCAATATGATTTTGTCAATGCTTTTTTATATTGCTGCGTATTGCGCCGTGGTGGGTGTTTTAAGTGATTTTCTTGAGTCTGGTATGGGTGGTGGGTATGGTGCGCGAAGTGCTTTTTGGGTGGAGTGTGTGAGGGGGGAGCAGGCCCTACGGCCCTATATAGTTGCGTTTAAATATATCTTTTTTTTTGCAGAGTGTGTAAATGCGTTTCTTGACGGTGACAGTGAGAGTATGTTTATTGGGATAGTTGATTAGTAAGTCTTTAAACGCAGGGGACATGTTGAAGTGTAACATGTTGAAAAAAGACTGTGCGGTGTGTGTTTATCTGCGTTTGTTGCATGATAAATTTTTATGCGTCGGATTGCAGTGGGTAGTTCCTCTCTTTTCTGCTACGTGTCAGTGTTTTTTTTTTTTTATCCAGGACGGAGAAGGGGGGCGCTAGTTTGTTGAGGGAGCGTGAACTGTTGGTGTGCAGAAGATGCATACACATACACGTGTGGTCTCGGTCTCCCCCTGCAGTCTGCGTCCATGCGTGGAGGCCCTTGTCCCTTTCTGCTCTTTTCGCACTGGAAGTTGCGCCACTGTACTCATTTTGTGGGCGAGGCGTTTTAGCATAGACCGCGTCACAAGCGTTTCGGGCGGTAGCGACAGACACGAAAGTAATAAGGGAAAAATAAAAGCAAGAGAATAGCACGAGGGGCTAGCTTCCGTTAGACTGTTTTTGTTTTGTGGGTTAGAGATACTTTGGGAACAAGTTCGGAGCCATTGTGCCATCTTTGTTTTTCTTACTTATAAAAAATAATAATAAATAAAAGAAATTCGGGAGTGGTGTAAGTGAGATGAGTCTAGAGGCTCAGCGCTATGACCCGAAGCTGTATGGCGGTCAACGTGCAATCGGCGACGGCGTTGGCCCTACGATTTGTCGCTGCTGTGGATGCTCTGCCGAGCGACCTCCGTGTTGCTGCGAGTCTTTCCGCAAGGGTGCGGAGACAGCAAGTCATCTTTTTCAGCGTGGTGCTAAGCAGCAGCAGCAGCATCTACTGCGTCATCATCAGCAACAAAAGGAGGGAAGTGAGGAGCAGTTGCATGAACGCCACCATTCTTCGTCTCGCCATTGCTTTTTCTGTGTCCCGGAGCAGGAAGAGCTGCAGGAGTACGAGCGTTTGGAGAAAGAACAGAGGTACCGTTCAGTGCGTGCAGAACGACAGCAGCTTCAAGCTGCATTACACGATGATGTGTGGCGTGGTGCGACACCCCAATATGAGCCTTTCTCGGAGTATTCCTACAGGCCAAACACAGCTCAACTGCTCCGTTATTCTCAAGGGTCTTTCTATCAGCGTGCCGTTGCAATGGAGCGAGAACGCCGGCGACAGGAATTGCGCAGGGAAATTGAGGAGAGGAAGCGAGAAATGGGTGCGCGTGGGATGATGCGTCAACCGATTACTGTCTTTACATCTCTGGGCGGTGCGAAGAGGCCAGTTGCTCCGGTTCAGCGAACACGTGGGACGAATTTTGCGAGCTGTCCTATGACTGTGTGCCCCACAACGGGTCTAATGCAACATAAGCACTCTGGTCGCGGTATACGAAAAGCGGGAGCAAAGTCAGTGGCATTGGTGACGCCAGGCGGTGAAGGTGAAGGCCGCAGTTGTCCGTACGTGCGTGGGCGGAAGGCTCACAAAGGGACCAGGCCTCATGTAAAAGGAAACACGGCACTTACCGTGACAGACGTGGGCAAGGAGCCAGCGTCTGTTCCCCCCGCATCACAATCCCCGTCTCGTTCCAGGTTTGAAGAAGGGCGGAGGATGCCGTCTTCAACTGTCCCACTACGTGGTGGGAAGGGCGAGTGCCGTTGTAAGCCGTGTAAGTGTTGCTCATGCGCTGACTTTGAGTGTCGCTGCAAATTGTGTAAGTGCTGCCGGTGCGCGGAAAAGGCTGACTCCGCGGATGTTATTCCCACAATCCCTCACACCGCAGATACCGTCCCGGCAGCAAAAGTAGAAGAACAAGATAAGGCGGTGCCTGCTGCACCCTTGCGAGCCACGTCTGCGCCGCCGTGCTCGGTTCGTTCGCAGCGCCGTGCCCCTGATCATGGCAGAAAGATTTATATCACAGACGATGCATATTTGTGTCGGCGATCTAAAGTTATCGAACTGTTGGAGCGGGACGGATACGTCCGACGCCTCAGTCCTACAACGCGCAGTCCAAGTGCCCCACTTCCTGAAAAGACCCGCAAGTGGGCAACGACGCGCAGTACCAGTGCCCATCGCGTCTGCGTCTGATTGGTGAGGCAGATGAAGATGCTGAAAAGATGTGAGGACGGGGAATGGAAGGAAATTGTCATTTCCTTTTCTTCTTTGGCACGCTACATGTTTGATTCGTTGTTGCATTTTGTATTCTCAACATTACTGTACCTTTTTTTTTTTTTCCGTGTGTATTTTTTTTCGTTCTTCTAATGCTTGTACTTCTGAAGATTTTTTCGTTTCCGCCGATTTTGTTTCATCAACAACAGCGTCACGTTTGTGTTTCCGTCTTTTTCTTTTTGGTCTTCCTTCGTGTGGTAGGCAGCCGTCTCCACGGGGTGTCGCCAGCCTAACGGTATCTTGTCGTGGTTGTTGAAGGAACACGATCTGAGCTTGTCTTGTCTTTTTTTTTTGTTTGTTTGTGGAGGTACGGTAGGAGGGGAAACCAGGTGCGCTAATAAAATTGGGGCAAAAACAACGGACCACAAGGAACACAACGCTACTCACGCCATACAATAGGGAAAGGGATACGGAAAGGCCCCAAACCCTCCATAAGGCGAGGTAAGCAACACAGAAAACGAAGCAATTATCAATAGGGAGCAAACTTCTCTAATACGCAGGATACAAGCTCTGCTGCTGATTTTTATTTCCTTGTGTTATCAGGAATTACTCTGGGGATTATCCAACGGTTACCAGGGTTTTAGGTGGAAGGAGGAACCAGAAAAGAAAAGAAAAAAACAGACCCGGGGAATTGAGTGAGATTAGGACAAGAAACAGTGTGAGGAAATGACTGTATTTGCTGGCAGTGATGGAACAGATGGTGTGCACCTCATCGATGAAGACGGACAGATTCTGCCACTAAGGGCAATCCAGGAGTACCTTTATACAGCCCTGAATGTGCCCGACGGGAGCGACGCGCTGCACCGCGTGGGCATTAACTACCACGTTGTAGGTGTCCTTGGGGGGCAGAGCAGTGGGAAGTCCACGCTGCTGAATTGCCTTTTTTGCACCCACTTTCAGATGATGGACGAGACGAAGTGGCGAGGGCAAACAACCAAAGGTGCCTTTCTCGCGCGTGCCGCATTTGCAAACTCAGGTGGCGACGATGAGGAGGCGGAGGCAGCTGCACCAGCGATGGTAGGAACGGGGGCTGACACGTCATGGCCTCTTTTTGTAGTGGACATTGAGGGCACCGACGGCCTTGAGCGTGGGGAGGACCAAAGCTTTGAGCGGCAGCTTTCTCTCTTTGCTCTCAGTCTTGCAGACACTCTCATCATCAATATGTGGACAGTTGACGTGGGTCGTTTTAATGCTGCCAATATGAGTCTTTTGCGCACCATTTTTGAGGTGAATTTGCAGCTTTTTTCGCATGACAGTTACAAAAAGGAAGAGAAGCCGACACTCCTCGTTGTATTACGTGACTTCACAGATGAAGACACCACGCTCTACTTTAAAACGGTCCGTCAATCGTTTGACAAAATATGGGACAACATTGTGAAACCAGAGGCATTTCAAGGCTCCAGCATTGATGTTTTCTTTGATCTACGCTATCACGTGCTTCCACATTTCAAGCTGCAGCATGCTGCATTCAATCAGGCAGTGGCAACCTTTCGTGAATGGTTTTTTCTGTCGACGTGCGAACAGTACTTGTTTCACGGTGGCGGCATGTTTCGTGGTGTTCCGCTGGATGGAATTCCAGCTTACCTCTCAAACTGCTGGGAGATGATACGCGCAAGCAAGGACCTTGACATTCCAACGCAGCGAGAGATGCTGGCAAGACACCGTTGCATGGAGGTGAAGAATAATATTATACAATTGTTTACGGAGAATTGCCGTGAGTATACAGAGTGTTTTCGACGTGGGGAGCTTGTGCCACATCTCACTGATGTACTGGACCGCGAGATCGTCGATCAACTGCGTGCGTTTCACACCCAAACACAGCTCTACAAGACAACCATTGTACATAGTACGGAAGTTGAGCTGGGGGAAGAGCTTCTTAAAATTGAGTTGAATCTTATTGGCGAGTACGCAAAGCATATTGCATTGAAGGTGCTTGCGGGGTTGGACACAACGGTGAGTGAGGCTGTTGACAGAACATTGCGGTGGATGCTGCATCAGGCTCAGTTAATACCGTTTATTACCACTGAAAAAGGCAAGACGGATGAGGGAGAAGATTACGCGCTCAGAGAGAGGAGTTTTGGGGAGGTGTGTTCTAAAAAGCCTTGCTTAGTGGACAATGAAAAGTGTCATGCTCTGGTGCATGGTTTTTGGATGCGACTGTGTCACGTCCTGCATGCGGAAATGGAGTTGTTTTACCGCAACTCCAACCAGCAGCCTCAACAGCAACAACAGGTTTCCCGTCTTTATGACCGTTATGCATCTTTGGTTGAAGAAGATCCAGCTCTGCAGGAGAGCGTGGCACACGCCTTGTTTGATGCCGTAGCTCAGAAAATCAGCCGCCGTTTTACATCAATGGCTGAAAACGCAACGGAAACAATTCATCAGGCCTTTGAAAGCGCTCTCAACCGTAAACTAGACGGTACTGTCCGTTTTTTTAATACAACAAAGGCACTGCAGCGATGTGAACCACAGGCGCGCCAAGCTGGGCTCGTGTTTTTAAACTGTCTGCTGTACTACCGCATGAAGGTTGTTGCCGAGAAGGCGGTTTTTGAGCATGGGGAGAGGGAACACCTTGGCCGTGTCGTTTGCCACTTGCTTGGCAAGCGACGAAAGTTGATGGTGCGAGAAAACAACGCGGAACAACATTTTTTTCTGCACTATACAACCATTTCGGAGGTTCCGCGGTACCCCACGGGGGTTCTTGTGGCAGAGACTGACTCTGCGGACTCACCAGACAACGCTGTTGATAGGGAATGTGTGTTACTCAGCCAACAAGCAGTTCAGCGGGTATTTGACATGTATACGCAAAAGTGTGAATTTACCATGCAGGTTCAACTGCGCTCCATTGAAAGTGAGAAGCAACATTTGCCTGTCTGGGTGCTGCCGGTGATGCTGCTGTTAGGATGGAATGAGTTGTGGTATGTACTTTCGTCTCCCATCCTGCTTCCCATTGTCATTTTTGTCGCCGTGATATATTTGCGGCAGAGGTTGTTGTCTCAATGGGAAATATTTGAGGAGACAGGGCCCACGTGTGTTGTAGTAGCGGTTCGCGTTGTACTGCGACACCTTCAGACGATATACGATAAACTTGTCCCAAGAGCAACAAACGAGGTTGAGAGCGAGACACCGCGGTACCGCGACCCAGGCAGTTTGTCTGACGTGGCTGCGCATGCAATGCGAACTTCTTTGCCTTCTACTGCTGCTACCGAACCACAAACGGCGTCGTCCCTTGCGGCGTCCGCTACTCTCAAGCAGTGATTAACCAAGGAGGAGGCGAGCATCTAGAGAGATTGATTGCTTTGACCAGTTGTGGTGAACGATATTTTTATACCCGCTGTTATGGGGATCAGGACGAGCACGTGACTCCCCAGCTTGGTGGTTGCTTTCTGGAACAACTCCAAACTTCCATGCACACATATTGTGTCATTCTTTTTGGTTGGCTTTGTTTATTGCTATGTCGATACATATATATATTTGGTTGTTGTTTTCTCTCTCTCTCTCTCTCTCTTCTCTTTTCTCTTATATATATTTTTTATTTGCTATTCTATTCATCGTAGACTTCGTGGTGATAATTAGATTCTCTCATTTTGGTGCGGCCACGCATATATATTTTTCGTCCTATGGAGATCTGAAGCAGTGTATGAGCAGTGAAGAGGAGGGTCAGAGATGGAAATGAATAATAAGTACAAGAAGATGCGATTAGGTTGAGGAGAGAGAAAAGAGTTAACGAAGCGATTATTTGTGTTTGTGCTGTGGGCTGCGGTGGGGCCCCTATTATTATTATTATTATTGTTCCGCTTGCGTGGATATGTGGCAATTGCGGCAGCGAGAATTTTTGGAAGGCAGGGGAGAAGGGGGACGTTGGTGGTGTTGGTAGATGGGTGACTCTCTGCACACTCACAAGAGGATTCATATTATTTTTTTGTTGTTCCTTCTGGTGCCGTGTTTCTTCATGCAATATCACCAACGGCAAGGAGGAAGGCGCACTGCTCCACAGCAAGTGAAGAGAGGAAACCACACACACATACACACACACAGGAAAAAGTCATGTCGGTGACGGTGCCATATGGGCCGGTGCAGTACCAGTCGCACCATCACTGTCAGTGCGACTTTTGCAACAGCCGTCGCACCGTCGAAGCAAAGAAGCGTGGTGTGGACACCGCCGTCACGCAGTTGCATTCATCGCAACAACAAAAAAACACCTACCCCTCCCATGCTGCGGCGTCGGGTAAACTTGGCGCCCAAAATGGGGTAGCGTCGTTTGAGCTTGACGACCCAGAGCATCATGTGAACCAAACCGAACTTAACGCCAAGATGGGTCGTACTGGTCTTCCTGAGGGCAATAAATACACAATAGCAACGGGCGGTACACGTGGAGCTCGTAGCGCTGGCGTTGTTGTGCCTGCCAAACCAAAGACAAAGGAGGAGCAGGAGGCTGAGGCAATGGAGGACCTTGATCGCCTTGAGCGTCTTCTCATTCTCGAACACAAAGCTCGAGTGAAGGCGACAGCGGACGCGGAGCGTCTTGCCTTGCTTGAATCAACCGGCAAGGGTCCTCGTCCGCAGCCGTTTGAGGCGCCTTCCCCATCTTTGACGGAGGAGATACAGAAGAAGGTCAGAAAGGGGGCAAGTCTGTACCAGCCAGGTACCATCCGCGAGGCGTATGAAAACGCGTGTCGTTGCTCTGTTACACCTCCACCGCATTGTGAGGCATCCCACCTGCTCCAGCACACTATGGATGACTTACGTGATGTGGCAAGAGACCCTATCAATAAGAAGAACCCCGAAAAGTTACAGAATATTCTTCAAATTCAAGGTGCTCAAGGAGCCACACCGAAATCACTCTCTCCAGGGCAGGCAGACGCCGATGCAAACGGCGTTGGCGATTCAACTGCCAAAAAGTGGCGGGATTATTTAGCCCCACGGCCCGAGGGGGCGGGCGTGGTGTGGCGCAAGATTAAACCAAGCATTCCAGAGGATACAACGACAGCGTGTGGGGGCCTTGGCAATGTTGACAAACGCCATTTATGGAAGTCAACAGTAGTGAAGGGAGCAAGTGGTGCGAAACACCCCACCGCTAATGGAACTGACGCCACGAAGGTCGTTACTGTCACCGACCCTCCACTAACATCTCCGGGTGCTCTTGCCAGCCTTGCCATTCAAGAACAGGAAAAGGAATGCCAGGCGAAGCATGCTTCGATTTCACCTATACCTATGGCTCGTGGTGAAGATGAGAGGCTGGAATAAGACGACCTACGAGGTGCCTTCATCAAGCACACGGTCCACTCATTTGGGTGTTCCATTTACTGTGGAACTTATTTCCTTGTGTGAGGTAAGTGTGTGTGCGTGCGGGAGAGGATAATTTGGAGGACGGCTGGGGGTTTGATGTTTAGGGAGGGATATCTTTTTCTGGTGTGTATGTGTGAAGAAGGAAGAGAAAAGCTTTTGACAAGGTAGAATTTGCATTAGCGAAGTGGATATTAAGTTGGCCCCTGCATGCAGTGATGTATATGCCGTTTCTTTGTACTCGCCGGTCTGCACAGAGGGCTGGAAATGTATATAAATATGAAAAGGTCGCTCTTTTTGTTTTTGTTTTTGCGCAAGCGGGTGGTGGAAGCGAGGGAATGTCGCTAAAGATGTACATGCCCCCCTTGCCATCTACGCCACCACCACCACCACCACCACCACCACCACCAACAACAACAACAACAACAATCGGCAACAATCAACATCAACGCTCATGTTTTTTTTCCGCACAAGGCAAGGGAGGGGCAGGAGTGAGGCAGGAGAAAGTCTAAAAGAATTACGGAAAAGGAGAATTATTTGAGGGGCCTTTCCCCACTCCTTGTTGTTCGTGTTTTGTGTGTTACAAACGTGTGAGAAAATGGATGATGAGGGCCTGCGGACTACTTTTGTTTTTCTCTTGCATGTAGAACACTGCACTGTCAACGACTGTTGTTGTTGTTGTTATTGTTCGTGTTTCCTCTCCAGTGAGGTATGATCGGGCGGTGATTGGACCCGAAGGAATTAGTGACGTTTTTTTTTTTAACTTCTGCTGTCCCACAACACTTCTCTCTTTGGTTCTGCCTCGCTGCGGGGTTTTAGGGCCCTCTGGGGAGGAGGAGGAAAATGACGAGGCTTAAGGGAGCCGACCATTCGCAGGCGACACACTGATATAATGCTTGAAACAAATATGTAAAATATGTCTGTTTGCTCATGAGCTGCATCAGTCGTTGGTGTTTTGGTCAGTTTGAACGGATCGTTGCGGCTTTTTGGAATTTGTCCCGTCTCTTTTTTGAGTGAACTGAGCGGCGGACCCCGCGGTGGAATTATTATTTTGCCTCGCCTCTTTTTTCGCCCGTAGGTGGTTGTGACGGGGGGTGGTAATAAGGGTGATTAGGCGTCTGCGAGGAAACAAAGTCCTGGGGGAGAAAAAGATGCTCACTTTGTTGATTTCTGTATTATGTATGCAGCGTCAAAAACAAAAACAAAAACAAAAAAAAAGGGCTAAATAACAACAACAACGAAGAAAAAAAAAGTTGATCTTCAAGACGAGCGTCGTATGTACCATTAAGCTTGCTTCAATTTATGCTTTGGTACAGTGCTTGCGTGGCTGAATTTTCTTGCACTGCGCTGTTTTGTTTTGTTTTGTTTTCTTCTGATTGGGCTGTTTCTTTCTCCATGTGTGTTTGCATCTGTCAATAATGAATGATACATACGCGTATTTGTTGCTGTTTTTTGCACAGTAACCATACTTTCAGGTACATACTTTACTACGCCGGGTGTGAGGGCCGTCTACAAAAATGATCCGTGGTCAATGTAAGACGTACTGTCAGTGTAACTACTGCAAGCGGCCTCGTGAGCAGACAGGGGCCATTCCGGGCAGCACCAAGCCTGTTTCAGGCAATGAATGCAGCAAGGATGAACTGTATCTTCGCACCCTTAACGATAGCCTTCGGGCAAGGAGTCTGATGGCCAGCTCAAAGAATGCCCATAAATTTAAACCTGACACGATGCTGCAAAGTACACGAGGTGATATGGCGAGAGCTGCGTTAACTGTTCCAGTTCGACGCCGCGACCGCCTGCAGGAACTTCTCATTCTTGAGAACAAAGGGCGGATTGAGGCCGAGCGCCAACTACGACGCGATCGTCGGGCAATGGGCCTTTCAGATGAAGAGGATACGAGATTGCAGGAACGCGGCGTTGGCACACGTGATGACTTCCACGATGCAACGGCAGTAGCCGAAGCGCATGCTTCCGAAGCGGCACCGCAACCGAAATGCTCGGCGGAAGGGGAATTGCTTCATGTGCTGAATTCCATTAAAACCATTACGGACGAGCACGCCGCGGATGACGCGAACAAGCCGCTATCATTGGACCGCATTCATCAGCTGCGTCAACTTGTACATGAACAGGATATGAAGGCAAAGAAAATGGTTGCTGAATGCCCATTGCAGCCTCACGTGTGTGGTCATTGCTTCGCCGTCAACGCTCAGGGGAAGCATCTGTGCCAGGTGCCACCGCCACACATCTTACGAGATACGTTTTTTCCGTCTATCCATGGTAAATCCACGCGTCGCTTTAATTACAGCACACATCCGTACGGCACCGGTGTGGTGTGGGTGCCACTTGACGAGGAAGCGAAAGAGGAGGATGACAAGTGCGTTATGCCCACCGCTGCAGAAGCTTATGATGTAGCAACAGCGGAGAGGCGGAGCCCCACCGTTTCAGACGATGACAAGGCAGACGCAGCGTACCAGTATCCAGGAAGTACTCACAACAAGTATCTAACCGGTGCAAAACCTGCTCAAGAAAAGTCATTGAAAGGAGTCTCGCCAGAGACAGATAATGGTCGCGCCGGGTTGGTTGACTCGGGGAATTTGGAGAAGGGAAACAACAATGGGAATGGGGCGCCGCCCGCTAATGGTAAGAAAACTCCAACAAAGGAACCACCCACCTACAAAAGCTCTGCTGCGCTGTGGCGTACCACCAACCAAGATCGTGCAGATCAAATGCAGCGTTTCTTGGAGTTTAAGAAGTTACAAGCCAATGCTGCACGTCTTTACGCTGAAACTGCGATTAAGCGCCGCGCAGACAATGGAGTCTTACATGCCGTCTCCGCAGGAGACCGAAATGGTTTGTGAATTTAGATGTCTGGGTGAAGAACTTGTTTCTTTGAAGGGCATCTTGTCTCCAGGACGGGAAGGAAGTGAAAGGGCTCGCCACGACATGCAATGTAGAAAGTTTTTTGTTCTTTTATGTTGAGTGCGGGTTTCCCGTTTTTGTTTCTCGTTTACAAAGAGATTAATACGTATGATGTATAAATTACCACTCTCCTCTCCGTTATCCACGTGCTGTTTTTTTCATCCTCCATTTGCCGTTGAGTTTTCATGTGTTTTCGTTTTTTTTTTCAAAGCACTATGGTATTTTAACTATAGTTGTTTTTGTTTGTTTGTTTTGCTTTGGTTCTCCTGTGCCTGTTATTCTTCATCGTGGCGGTACTGTTTGTTTCATACCTCACTCATTGCCAATTTTTTCAGCGAAAGGAGGAGCGATCGTGGGAGGTGGAGAACAACGAGTGCTGTGCTGACGAGGGTTTGCCGCATGAGTAGGGGCAAAGTGAGGGATAGGGGAGATGATCGACCGGAAGTGGGATCCATGGGGAAAAGAAAAGGGATAGGAAACTCTGCAGGAAGCAGCGAGGGACGGTGGGGACTACTCGTGCAAAGTGAGCACAGTGAGATCGATGGAGCGGGGGAGGGGGGAGAGGGGAGGGCGGTGTGTTGTATTGCAGAAGAGAACTGGAAAACTAGGGACAGCATCGAGACGGAAGCCGCATTACTGTAACGCCCCTGCGGGTACACGCACACACACAATCGTTTTGTGGCGGTGAAGTGCTTCATTGCAGTATGTGTTATTTCTTATTTTTGCAGTTTTCCTACTTTTCTCTCCGTGTTTTTATTTTGTCATGTATTTTTACTTTCAGTACTTGAATGGACCGGGGAACCTCGTGGTGGGAGTTGCTTCCTTGCTGCTTCCTTGTCTTACCACAATGTCCTTCCCGTTTTATTCACTTCCTTCATCAGTGCTCCTTTTTTTTTGTTGTTGTTGTCGTTTTCCACCTGGCGCAGCCAGCGGCAGTTTGTGTAGGGCTGCACGGTACGACGAAGTAGGCGTCCAAGACATTTCTGCTTCCGCCCACGTCTGCACTTCTTGGTGAGCGTAGATGCCGATCAAGGCAAAGCCCATTGACCCCAGTCGAGCTCGGCTTGCCTTGCTGGGTCAGTGGAATCGGCAAGGTACGACGGCTTGCAGTCTCGCCACTCCCGCAAACGGCAGAGGGAATGACAGTCGGGCCATTAGCAGAGGCAGCAGCACAAGCACGAGTTCCAGTGAGGGAAGTCGTTCGGGCAAAAGAGGCCGTCGACCGCAGGACAATCGCACGACGAAAACTGGAAGCAACGACAATGGTGCGGCACCAGCGTTCTTAACATCTGTAGGGGCGCCTGAAGGAGAGAGCGATACATCAGATAGCGATCCGGAGTTGTACCGCGCGGCTCGGGAGAGAACTGCACGGTTTTTGTACCCCAATGGTCGTCCTGTTGTCAACATCAGCAGCAGCAGAGACACTGCTGTTAGGGAAGAAAGTGGAAGGGCAACAAGGAATGTGGAGAAAATACACCTTGGTGTCTCACCGCCGCGGACCCCCATGAATCAACCTCCTTGTCGTTTGCACACTGGCAATCAACAGATCGAGCGGCAAAGTAGAAACAATGATACAAGTTTACTGAGCAGCCACGAGGAATCCTCCCCGCCTCATGGTGAACCACCCCTTGTTATACAAGAGGCTCTTCGAGGGCCACAGGGGACAGCAGACAGTGCGACATATCGCGACTTTGCTCGTCTCATGGATCTTATCGCCACGGACGTTCAGAAGGAGCGTGACGAAAAGCAGTTGCAGCAACAACAACAGCAGCAGCAGCACCAAAAAGCGCCAGAGGGTGAAGCTAAGCACACGACACTTCTTGTGAAGACTAAAGAGTACAGCCAGGGCCCTGGTCAACAAGGACAGAGCGATACTTCCAAGATGTACGTTGTTCCTCCAACCACATTTGATGAGTTACAGGAGCGTGTTCTCTTGCAGATATACGCTGCAAGCGAGGAAGATGACAATGCCAAGTATTTCATTGCCACGGATCATATGGCGGAGGCGTTTACCTTGGCTGCACTGGAGGCGGCACGTGATGATATTTCAGCAGACCCTACGGTCACCCTTGGGGCGCCAAGGGCAATGGACGGTAATAATGCGATTTCCAGACCGACGGGAACACCACTTTCCATTATGGAGATTATAGCCCTTGAGCGTGCTCGCCGAAACGCTCGGGCAGCTCTTCAGAGTCGCCAGGAGGAGGAGGAGGAGGTGGGGGGGGAAGTAACTCTTGGTCGAAATTCAGAGGCATTACTATGTACGGATGCGGACGTTATTGCAGCTACAGCGGAGAAGTCATTGTACCGTTTCCTGTTGGCTGTTCGTTGCATTGAACGTGCGGTGCGCAATCGGTGTGTGACCGATGATTTGGGTCGCTTTTTGTTTGCCCATCACAAGCCATTTCTTCAAGCTTGCAGTGACAAAGGGTTAACGGAGGATGCGATTCGAGAGTTCCCCCATGAGGCCTTTACGGCGTATGAGCGGTACTCTCGCTACGTGAGCAAATTTATAACTGAGTTGCTGACTCGAAATGTTCCAAACTTTGATATGGAGGAATTTGTCCTGGCGCTGTTTGATGTGGAAATATACGGCGAAGAAGGCGACGCGCGTGAGGAAAACGTCTCGATGGATGTTTTATCGTACCCTGCGTGGCGCCTGTTACTATCCACCTCTTCCTTTAATGAGTTCTGCACCTTCATGGATGACTTTATTGCGGAGGAGTATGGTGTGGAGAAGGTGGCTTTGCCTGACGGCAGTGAGGCCAAGGATGACAGTAGGGCAATGCCCTCTCGTTACGATGAGAACGGCGTGGTTGTGGTGGCAGGCGCACGAGGGATCCGTGCACTGCTGTCAAGGACGAAGGACAACATGGCGAGGGTGACGGCAGCCGCCGGGGACGACACACTGCGGATGGGGATACACAACGAAGGTTCACACGTCGGCAGTGATCCCTTTCTCCCTCTCCCTCATGACAGCAGTGCCACCGAGAGTCGAGCGTCCCATGAAAAGCAGAAGTCACCGTTGCGGGGAAATTATTCCGCAAAAGAGGCCGGCATGCGTTCTGATTTTGCCCTGATGACGTCCTTGAATTCTAACTCGGCTTTCTCTGTCACTTCCAGTGCGCCGCTTGCAAACAGTTCAAAAAGTCCACCACCGCTGCCTTCGCAATATACACAGCGCAGCAAAGGCAACCTTGGATTCCTTAACTCGTTTCCCAAAGTTTCACATGGGCGACGTCGGCCCGACGCACTGCCAGGACGCAATTTGCCACCGTTACTTGCTGTGAAGGCGACAGAGGCGGCGGAGGCACTCTTCTCTACTGTTCCATCGAAGCTAAATGAAAGTCTCGAGGACACCGCCTCTCTTCCAGATCGTTCCGGGACGGCGTCTCTGACAAGGGGACGCAGTGGGAGGGGTAATCACTCCAGCGGAGAGACCAATTCTTATCACGAGAGTGAACCTCCTTCCTTGACTAGTGCTAGTTGTGGTCACAAAAGGAAAAGCAAGGATAGTAGAGGCTGTAGCGGCACACAGACGGGTGCTGGCGCTGGGGGCACAACAACAGTAAAAAAACCACGAGGGAAGAAGACACCATCTGTTCCACGCCGCTAATATGCTTATGTTTTATTGCATAGAGCGTCTGCTGCTCTAGACCAACGCTGTTGCTTGGTGGCAATGTTGCTGCACATGATAAGTGTGTGGCATCTGGATGAAGATGAGAGAAATACTAATGACTTGACTGCAAGGACGATTCAACCTCTGCTTTGTATTATATTTATATCATTGGGGCCCTTTTAGCAATGAGTGGAATGAATGATGTTGTGCTTTTTAGAAATTCCCTTTTTGCGCTCTGTAAGTATCTGTGTGTGCCGTCAAAAAGTGGCCTGCATACTTCTGCCTTCGTTGTCTTTTTAATTTTTACTTTCTTTTCGTTATGATTTGTACTTTGCCGCCGCCTCACGCCTATGACTGCTCCACCGAAAAAAAAAAACAAAGAAATAAAACGCACAGAGGTTGTGAAGAAGGGGGGCACAGCGGCAGGCAAAAGGCAACTGTTGGCACCTGTACTGCTACAGACACGTCCGGGTAATCCCCACACGGCAGGGAATATCCTTATCTTTTAGCGAAACACGCAATGATGAAGAGGGGTGAGACTTCTCTCGCTTCAACATGCCGCTCACACCACAGCCGATTAGAACCACGTGGTCCGCCAAGTTTTGGCCCAGCACACTATTTAAGTACACCCAAGAAGAGCGAAAGGTCTTTCGCGAGAACACTGCTACCCGAAGTTCAAGAACAAAATGTATCCCGTACGCTGTATATGGGTTTTGCTGTCATTTTTGTCCTCTTTCTTACAGGGTGTTGGTGTTGGTGTTGGTGGGGGAGTAGTGCCGCGGACGAGCCATCGTCATCGCCTCTCTCGCTATCGCCTACAGGAGAGGATGTGGTACTTTCCTCGCTGTCGCGGTGTCTTGTGTTGGTTAAAAGCATACTTTCTGCTCCCATCAAATTATGGGTTTGTACGTTGGATCGCCTTTTCCTGATCTCACATTCGTCATTGTTGTGGCAACAGTTGAACGGTGACGGTGGTTTTTCATTAAACGGTCTACGTCAAGCGCGCTCTCTTGTCTCTCGTGCTACCAGTGCCGCGTGGACATACACGCACTTTTTTGTGACAGATAAGCTGTGGTCTTGCTTACACGATTTCACCGGGCGGCTTCTTTCGGCGCTGAGGCTGGCAATCCAACTTGTGAGGAATAAAACGTTGGAAGGAGTGCGTTGGGTGTATATTTATTCCAGTTTGCTGGGCTTGAAGGCGACGTCGCAGTGCCAAGGGAAGGTTGACTGCACACATGGGACCACAGTCACTACGACTTCCACGCCATCCGCACCGTTGCTGTCATCAGTAAATAGTACAATCAATGATACGGTCCTTGCCCAGGAGCCAGCGCGGTTGACGAGGATGCCCAGTATCCTAACTTGGCTGAGAAATACTTTCACGTTTTTGTTCCCATCCAAACAAGAGGCGGCAGGTTCGCAGCGACCTCTTTTACGCTCAGATGAGACGCGCCACGGCAGCTCTCGTGTCTCACGCCGTGCGCGTCCGCCAGGTGAGGGATCCTCCACTGACTGAAAAACCCCAGCCATCATCGGCCGGAGGCGCTCCACAACCGGACAAAGGGCAGGAGCAAACAAAATACATGTTAGGGAAGGCATCCAGTTTCTTGAGGTGGCTTACCGGTGGCTCCCCTTTGGGGATTTCGGAGTCTTCTCGAGGCTACCCTTCTCGAAACAGAGGTAGAGACGAGAAAAAGCGTTGGCAGCCACATAAAGAGGGTGTTGGCAGCCACTACTGGCTATTGGCAGCGCGCAATGTCCTTGGTTGGCCGTTGACTTCTAAAGCTCCTCAAGCGGCTGCAGAAGCTACGCGCGAGAACAGCAAAGAGGAATCGCTCTCTCTCACGAAAGCAGTTTTTGTGGGTGAAAATAGACGCACAACCATTGTGGACGCCGCTACAGCTCGTGCTGTGACACCACATCACATTGAGGTTGCGGCCGATGCATCCGGCGAGCAGCCGCACGACGCTCAGGAAGAGTCTGAAATACAACTCGTTTCGCAAGAAGTACGAGATAGAATTGTAAGGGATGCCAAAAACATTCTCCCTTTGACTGTATCCGCGCCCATCAACAATGCTGAAGTGTGGCGCCGGGGAAAACCACTTCATAAACAACTTGATGTAATCCAGCTGGCCGAAAGTAATCCCTGGACGAAAGGGAAAATTGACATTTTTTTGGAAAACTACACGTTTACTCGATCGCGTGCAGCCAGCAGAGTTGGCGTTGCAGCAGGAGATTTACGAATGGGGAATCAGACATGCGATTTTATTGCCAAAGGGAAAGTTTCCAGGAAGCAGAAGCCAGAGGTGTATCAAGAGTATACAAATACATTGGAGAGACGACAAGGCCATAAAATTTTGGAAAAGAAGCAACCACAGGAATACATTCCGAAAACGAACTCAGTGCATGAGCAGACGCCGGAGCCCGCTGAAGTGGGTGGTGTTGTAGTTGCAAAGGATTTAGTGGACTTGTCGGAGGAAGGTTTGTCGGCTGTGACCTGTGTCTTGTGTAGTAGTCAGTGCGGCAATGAAGTTCAAACGGTTGGATCATCATCAATAGGTTTGGCAGTGTGGATGTACGTTTCTGCTGTAGTCGTTTGTGCGATTGTTGTTACAGTAATTTGGGTGCTTGTATTTCGGAACTCGACTCAAAGCCGACTAGGCGATGGGGTGCCGTCTATGATGCGTTGGCAACTGTTGTGTAGTGAGCTTGTGTGGGAGGCGGCTGAGAGGCGGTTTGCCCTTCTTTTTGATGCTTTATCTGCCCGTTTCGAGGTGGTGCGTGCACAGATGCTTTGCCTCCGCAGCATTGTTGGGGCGTACTTCCGCAGTTGTGAGATGCATTATGTGGATCTTGGGAATAGTATTGTGGTATTGGAAGACCTTGAGGGGGACCTGCGCGAGGCTGAGGCGCGCTGTTTGCAACTCACCCGCGGGATGAAGTGTTCCTCTTTGTTGCATGAGGTTGTATTGTCAGAAGGGCAGCAACGCCTGAGCCTGTGTCTGGAAGAACAGAGTTATGCCAGTCAGATCTGGGGGCACATGCTGGCGGTGCTTCAGGGGCAGTTGGAACACTTTATGAGGTGCAAGCAGGCGAGGGCCGCTGCGCTAGTTGAAGTCACTCCTCATACAGATGCTGAAAAGGCTGCTGCTCCCAGCCGCGAGAATGACCAGAGTATTGACACGCAGGATAGCGATGCGGCATCATCTTTGTGTTCTGTTTTTGCCTTTGCTGAGACCTCGGGTAAAGGGCCCAATGAAATGAAAGTGGTTAAGTTGGAGGAGTTACTGCGCGACATGTTGCTTAAGGAAAACCGGGAAAAACATGCTCTTATGCTTGAGCTCCAGTTGCTGCGCAGCCGTTTTGTCGAGTGCACAAAAAACCAGGCTTGAGACGTTGCCATCCTCCAACGTCATTGAGAGCCACGAACATGGGGTTAGTGGGCACCGCTCTTTTATGGAGCTGAGTCCACTGCAACAAGGAAATGAATATTGTGGGAGCAGGTAAAATGAGTCTCATTCGCACGATGCAGTCACTGCCTGTGAAGACGAGTCAAGGACTGGGGATGAGCTTGGGGCCCAGCCCCCCGTTTTCATGTACAAGGTGTTCTGGGCAGCAACCGCCTCGGTCGGCCTCCGGGTCATGTTCTTCTTCTTATGTAGACGTCGTATTAGATGGTGTCGTGGACGTTGAAGCTCCTTTGAAAGGCTGCGAGGAAGCATTGGCTCGCTTGCCAGAGGATCGATTAAAGCAATTTAGTTTTTCTAACGGAGATGAGAATAAAGCTGTGTTAGGCCAAAATGAGAGGACCGATGCGTAATATGCTTCTTATTCCATCGTTGTTGTTTCCACAGTCTAATGCTTCTGCTGAAAATCGTTCTGCGTTTCGTGTGGGGGAGGTGAACCGTATGGACACAGAAATAGGAACGAAAACCATATTTGCAAAGGCGAGTCTTTTGGTTGCATCTGTAGTGAAACCTGTGACGATGCAGCATGGCCTTCATTCCACACGTCCTTCTCGCAGAAACGACTGGTCTGACTTCGGCAGTTAAGAGGAACTGTGTACAGTGATGTTCTTAGTTTTCAGTATATATTCATCGTTGTATACGTCACGAAGGGAATGGGAGGCGTAGTGACGTCGATGGATGAGTACGTAAAATTGTTTGTATTTTGAAGTTTTGTAATTTGTAGATGCCAAAATCTTTTGCTTTGGAATGACGTGGGCTCTGTTCCCCCATCTGTGTGATAATTGTTGCTGTTGCTGCCAGTTTTCCCCTTATGTCTGTCTGTGTGTGTCCGTGTGTGCGTTTGTGTTTGTGTTTAGGTGGCGCGCATGGATGTGAGCACCTCTACTTCTGTGTGTGTACTTTCACCACGTATTTTTTGTTCCTTTGTCCCTCCAACTGTTTACGGCCGTAGAAGGCAAGTCTCTAAGACTAGTGACAGAGACACGGTTCACACGATCTCGTCATCTTTATTTCTTTTGTCGGAGGCCCTCCTGGAAAAGGGAGAGCGACAACTTAAAAAAAAAGGAAGGGAAAAGGGGGGAGGGGGAAGAAAAAAGATCAAGGAAACCAACAAAACAATTACTTAGGAAGAGGAAAGGCAAAACGGACGTGAAACAATGTTACTGTATTTCGTCAATGGTGTCGCGAGTCAGGGGACCGTTAACGCGGAGCTTCTCGTGACGCATACGCTGCTGCCCATTGTGGCATCTGCGTGGACGGAGCCGTCACACCTGCTTGTGACCGATGCCGAAGGGGAGTTCATCGCCGATAGCGGGGTGCAGTTAGCATCGAAAGCCACTGGTAAGGTCACCTCCATGGCGTGGCACCCCACCCATCCTGTTTTGGCAATTGGGTGGTCCTCGGGGGGACTCATGTTGTGGACCCTTCCGCCGATGACGAAAACGGCTGGCGCTGTCACTACCCCATCAGGAGCGCCGGTGGAAGCTGAAAAGGCATTGCTGCAGCATGACGAAGGCTCAGTGACAACGTGTGTGTGGTCTAGTGGTGGCACCTACCTTTTAACCGCGTCATCAAAGATGCTTGTAGTGGCCTGGATGGTGGAGCACACCACCGTGAAAACGGAGAAGAGTGATCGAGATGACGAGGGCAAAACAATGCATTTTAAACCTACAGCGATGTGGTCTGTGCCAACAGAAGTGATGATGGTCCAAGCCCTGCATGCTACCGCTTCCGTTGTGCCGTCTCTTCAAAATGCGCTAAAACGACAGCAGCAGCAGCCCAACACGGATTCCCCAGACGAATTTGGTAGTTCGCTTAAGCTGCCATTTCATCGCAACTTGGATGATGATAATGATGAATGTGCTTTTTTTCTTGCCAGTGCCAGTGACAAACAAATATTTGCGCTAACAGAGGAGCAAAAACTTTTCCCACTGCTTTCGCTTGAAGAACCACCCACGGCGATGCTCTACGAACCAGCAGAGCGGCAACTTGTTGCATTTAGCGTCGCTAATGTAATTAACGTGTACCATATTTCAGAAGACTTTACAGCAAAGTTAATTCTTCGCCGTAAATTGTCAACTCCAAGTGCTAACTTGATGGGAGAGCGATTTACGGTGACAATGCGGTGGGCCAGTTCTGGTGTTCTTGCATTTGGGTGTGGGGACAATCGTGTGCGTTTTTTTGACATCCGTGGTGATCGCGTGTACGTTGTACCGCATCCGGTGCCTGCGGCTGCGCACATCACACACATTGACACACTTGAAAAGAAGGGTTTACTAGCTATGGCAACGATGGAAGGACCGCTCGCCGTATTTCAAAGAAACGTCGCTCCACACCGTGAGCGAAGCTCTGTTACCATACCAGGCGCTAATACAGGTAATGCAACGATGGAAAGCCATTCCACGAATGATGCTGCCATTCGTGACGGTAATGATCCAGCAGAAGAGTGGGAGTTACTGACGGTTGTCGATATAAGTGGACGCGTGAATCGTTTAAGCTTTACCACTGCTGGTCACATTGTGGTGGCTCTTGCAAAGGGGAAGATGCAGGTTCTTCGAGAGACGGTGCGCAAGCGTGCATGGGACGGGGTTGTAGCCGCCACACAGATTTCAATGGATATGGTCGTGGTAGAGAGTGTCACTGGCTGCCAGTGTTTGTTGAAGAGTAACAGTAAGATTCGCGGCATGGCGGCAGCCTTTCCTACTATTGGACTCTGGAATGGTCAACAAATTGACCTCTACACGGTTAACGAGTCCACGTCGACGGCGTCCTTGACAAACTTTGTACCAGCCACAAGTTCTGCCTTTGCAGTGCATCCGGAGGGGCTATTTTACGTGAAGGATGCCAATCGCGTCTTATTCGTCAATTTTCAACTGGTGACGCTTGGGCAAATCGCCTTTACCGAGGCGGAAGGGAGACCAATGGTTATTGATGTGATGGGTGACGTTGTTGTGGTGATCTCCTCCACAAATGCTATGCGACTTGCACGTGTGAGTGAACGTGAAGTGTGCCAGTTGGGTCCACCACGTCAACTGACGCTTCCAGACTCTGGCGTTGTCGTGACAGACGCAAGGGTGAATGCGCAGGGCCGTCGTGTGGCACTCATGACACGTCGCATTGCGGATGATCTGATGGACAGTCGCATTTGGGTTTACGACTGCGATAAGGACCTGATAAATTTTTATGACTTTGCCGTGCGTGGAGAGATACCTGACGCGGTATACTGGAACACACCGGAACCGAATAGCAATACCATTGGTGAGCTTGGTTATCTCCTTTTAGCCTGTGAGACGCATCAAGTAAAAAACAGCAACACCACATCTTCTTCCGAGGGTGCTGAGGAGGTTGGTGAATGCGGTGCGGAGGGCAACTCTTCAAAGCGGCCAAACTCACGAAGTGACTCATTTAGCGCCATTACAAACCATGCTGAAGCGGTGTCAGCTATGGAGTCAATGCCGGACTTAGAGAACTTTGCCGAGAAGCAGCAGCGGAGGGAGGAAGAGAGCTATGCAAACGGCCTTAGCGGGGTTAACCCTCTTGCAAATCGCACTCATTCCGTTGTGACGCTCTTTTCTACCAATAAGGGGCTTATTGTGCACAACGCCGTCCTTCTTAAGCGTTACCACATTTGCCTGGTTGGCCTTACGATCCCGGATTTTTTACTAGCTTCAGTGCGCGTCAACGGTAATCCAAGTAATCCCGAGGACTACATGATTGAGCAAAAGCGATTGCGCGACTTTGAGGGGCTTAAGACGGAAAAAGAAGTGCCGGTTCTGGAGGCACTCATGAAGTTCAGCTACTACTCCACCATTGGCAATATGGATGAGGCTTATCGCTGTGTCAAGACCATTAAAAACCCCACGGTGTGGCAGAGTCTCGCACGTATGTGCATCTCCTCTGGTCGCTTGGACGTTGCAGAGGTTTGTCTTGCGCAAATGCAGGATGGGGTTGCCGCTGGTGCTCTCCGAGAGGCCCGCACAAACTACCCGGAGGAGAAGGATGTGCACCTTGCGACACTTGCTTGTGGTCTTGGACTGGTAAAGGAGTGTGAGGGTCTGCTGCGCAAGGCGAAGCGATTTGACCTTATCACGGATCTACTGCTGGCGTGTGGTAAGTTTGAGCAGGCCCGGCGGCATGCAAAACACTACGATCGGATCCACATGCACTCAGTGTCATATAAGTACGCACAGTTCATGGAATCCTTTTCACACTTTGAGGCCTCAATCATGTGGTACCGTAACGCTGGGTGCTTCTCAACGGATGTTCCCCGTGTTTTCTTTCAAAATAATCGCCTAATGGAGCTGCATGACCTCATTATTCCACCACCGAGCAACCATAAGAATGATTCCGGTGCCACGACGGGTAATTTAGAGAATACAGCAACTGAGAAGAAAAGTTCTATAAATTCCAAGGACAACCGTGAGCCCTCAGCGACGACGACAATGCCTGTAGAGAATGAAGGTAAAACAGATGAAAACTCTGCACGGGATGAGGCTGAAGGGAATACATCCTTTACTTTTCAACATCTCTTTGCACACAACAAGGACCTGTTGATTTGGTGGGCACAACAGAGCGAGCGGAGAGAACAGTTTGCAGAGGCACTTAAATTTTACATGCTAGCAGAAGATGTCTTTAATAGTGTGCGGTTGCTCTGTGCAGAAAACCCTCCACGTCTAGAGGAGGCGCTTGGGATTGTAGATAAGGAAATTGAAAAGTCTCGTACGCGGGCAAGCAGTGCATCGGGAACAGTTATTGCGGCGGAAGAATCAACCCTGACGGAGATGGAACCTGTGGGGGGAGCTTTCTTTATTGGTCTTCATTATGAACGTTCCAATGATGTGTGTATGGCGTTACAGTACTTTAAGTATGCTGGAGCGTGGCGAGCCGCCTCGAGGGTGGCAAAGGGACACGAGCGCTATGGCGATTTGCTTGCCTTGTCCATTGCGAGTGAGGATGAGCAGCTGATGCTTGACAACGCAACATTTTTGGAGCAAAACAGCGTATACGACAAGGCTGTAGAGTTGTATCACCGAATCGGGGATGTTCAAAAGGCTATTGAGGTCTGCATTAAGGGTGGCCTTTATGATACAATGCACCGCATCAGCTCCACGTTGGATGCGCAAAGCGACCCAGAGGTGTTCCTACAGATGGCAGAACACTTTATTACGAATGGGCACTATGACAAGGCAGCAGAAATGTATGTATTTTCCAAGGCGTTTTCTCGCGCGCTTGAACTTTGTGCTTCGAAAGGGGTTGCTCTCACGGATGAAATGGCAGAGTCGATGTCTTCAGATGCAAACTGTTGCAATTTATCTGAGGAGGAGCGTACGGCACTGCTGCGGCAGATTGCTGACATTGCTAAGGATCAGGGTAACTGGAATCTTGCCTGTAAGAAGTACACGCAGATCGGTGAACGACTGAAGGCAATGAAGATGTTAATGCGCGGAGGTGATGTGAACAAGGTTATTTTCTTTGCCAACCACTCACGCAGCACGGAAATTTACACGCTTGCGGGTAACTTTTTGCAGTCTCAAAACTGGCACACCAATCCGAATATATACAAACACATTGTTTTGTTTTACACAAAGGCAAAGGCCTTTGGTAACCTCATCTCTTTTACGGATGCTTTTGCGCAACACCAGATTGATGAAAACCGCAACTACTACGACGCATGGCAGGCACTTCATGAATGCGTGGAGTTTTTGGAGCGCAACCGTGAAGCCGTCTACAGTAACGACACTGTCATGGTGAAAGATGAGGACCTCCGCTCGCGCCGCGATGTCATCGAACAGGTGGTGCGGGCGATAAAACTTCTCGCCGATAGTGCCGCTGACGCAGAGAAAGCGAAGGAACTCATTGCCGTTTGCTCCGACCTCATCAAACGCAGTCGACCCAGCCATCAGGACAGCTCCATTGTCTCGACTGCCATTCGTATAGGAGATGTCTTTGCACTTCTCGTGCGATACTATCATGAAAATGCGCGGTCCTCGACAGATGCGATGCGGGTAATAGACAGTATGGTGAAGCATGCCGTGGAGCCGCGTTTTTTTTTGGAGCGGGGGTTGTTAGAGGCTGTGTGTAGCGCAAATGCGCGGAGTGTTGCCGAGTTTCTTACTGAGGACGCCGGAGAAATGCCTGCCAAACGCACAAGCGTAAACCACAATAAAGCAGAGGAGGAGGCTGTGTGAGTATATAAAGTCTACCAACTAATTCCATTCTGCGAGTGGGGTAGAGGGTAAGGAAGTAGAAAGAAAGAAAGAAAATGGGAAGGGTGGTGTGTCTTGCAAGGTGGTGACGGACAAAAAAAAAAGAATGTGAGGATCATTTTATGTTTATATTATAGCTGCTTTCACGCAGCTGTTGAGGGAAGAGTACCTGGCTTTTGCCCGTTGCTCCCTTCCCTTGTTGTGTTTTGCGTTAGTTTTCTTCAATGGTGATAGCTGCATCAATGCAACACCAGGTATTGTTATTATTATTATTATTTTTTTTTGTTAGAATGAAGGCAAAACGAGGAACATTGACGGTGCGGCGTATGCACGACGTATATTATATATATATATATATATATATATATTGGTGAATTTAGTTGTTGAAGATTTTTTGCTTTTTTAGCTTGTCTTTGCTGCAGCCATGAGGTGCTGGAACCGGGTTCTGCTCCTCTGTCCCCTGCTTTTCCTTCAAGGTGTGCCTTTTTTTTTTCCCCCGCAGCGTCTTTTTGAGGAAAAAAAGGGGCTAGGAAGGAGTCAGAAGGAGAGTGGGGCGGAGACAACGGGAGGTTCGCGGCAAATGATGAGTGAGGCCTGTGAGGGGGACCAACTAGGTGTGACTCCGCTTCCACCCAAGTTGCAGCTGCCGTCATCCTCCACTGACAACCGCGTTCAGGGCAACGCTGAGCCGTGTCAGCGGCAGCAGCAGGTGGATGAGGATAACACTGAGGTGACTCGTACACGATGGGAGGCAGCTGCGGCGGGAGCGAGGCGGCCATTGCGGCGTTACAAGAAGGATATAACGTGGAGGCAGCCACCTCGGGCGCGCACACAACGGCCACTGCCGCAAGATTGTCAAGATGCGCCTCCGCCTTTGGAGGCACCAGCGTGTGTGCCGTTGGTGCAGGTGCAAAATGTGGAGTTTCCGGCCTCTTTTTTCCTTGACACTTCACAGGGCTCACCTTTGAACACCAAGATATCCTTAGCGACGCATTCTCTGTCACCGAGTGACAATTTCAAAGACAAATCGAGCAAATTTGTTTCAGTGGGTGGTGGTGGTGGTGGTGGGCTTCATGATGCGAGGGTGCGCCCTCCGCCAATCGTAACGAGTGAAGATATTATGTTTAGACAGTCTGGCCGGCCTAGACCAAGTCCTGAGTCCTGTGTCGTGCATCCACAAGGGTTCCGCATACTTAAGAACCGTAGTGTGGTGGAGCGATCATTGCGCAGCTACTTTCGTTTGCCCCCCGCACCATGTTCGCGCCTTGTCAGGGACCGTTTGTGGACACAACGACAATTGATGGCAGTTGAAATGAAAGAGGATGAGGAAGAGGCTCAGTTTTTTGCAAATGCCGTGGATGCTCCTCACCGGCAATCACACATGTTGCTTGACGGTTATCTTCTTCTTTGCGCGAGTGGTCAAGCGGAGCCGGAAGCGGTGGAGGCGGTGACACTACAGAGTTTTCATATTGTCGGTGCGATTGAGGATGACTTGGCCCATTTTCAGAGCCTGCGCTTTCTTGACCTGAGTGAGAATAGGCTTCTGCTGGAGCACCTACTTACCCTGACTGGACTTGAGATGCTGCATCTCCCGTACAATAAGATCAGCTCTTTGGCGGGCATCGCACGCGTGGTCATGGAGCAACAGATACAGCCTACAAACAGTAGTAATGTCTACATAAAACGTGGCGATGGAGTTGGCGTAGTGGACAATGCGACGCACGATAGTAAGTCCATTAGGAATGCTGCGGCCTATTATGCTCAAAAAAAAACAGGTACACCGCCTCATCCCGACGATGGCTTACGCTGGCGCACGCCAGTCGCAACCAGCCTGAATAGTGGTGGTGCCACGGTTGATGCAGCCCAGGTTGCTGGGTATTATTCGCCACATCATAAGACTCTGGGACGCCCTCATCAAGCGTTAGAGTGTAGTTTGCATGATGTTCTTTTGCCAAACCTGCGTGCTCTGAATCTTTCCTTTAACAAGATTCCTCCGGCTGACATTTTGCATTTGTCATACTTCCCTTTTCTTGAAAAACTTGACTTGAGCGGGAATGATTTGCGCGTATTGCCAGAGGATCTTGCGGATCTCACAAGTGTGACACATTTTGCACTTGAGCGAAATCACTTTCGCGACGGTAATATCATCTTTGCAGCACTCTCCACAATGCCAGCGCTCACTGAAGTCAACCTCAATCATAACGAACTGCGTCATGTACCTCCACTTTCCGTGAAAAATGGACGTGGGCTTTGTTTTCCTTCGATTGAGGTGATTGGTTTGGGGCACAACCACTTCGCAGGTGCGCGGGATGTGGCGGCGCTGACGGAGCTTGTACGGACGCTACAGCAGGTCATGCTTGCGGGGAACCCTATTGCGCGTAAAGACAAAGAACGTAGCGCGGCGCACTCAATTTTTGTGCAGGCCGTGATGAATCTTTACTGGGAGCAAGCCGTTGCTCGCCGCTCTGACAATGATGAAGTTAACTCCTCCAATCACTTTGACACCGACGTGCCACTTGAAGATGTCTCACAGCTCCAAACGCCACATCAAAATGAATGTGGGGTGGCCGATGAAGCGGAGGCGGCGCAGAGTGGATACCATCAATGGAGCAGTCTTGTGGAATCATGGCAGCCGCCACAGGTGAAGTCGGAATCAAAACGTTCCTCGCCTTTTATCACCAAACTTTATGAGAGTGGGGACAATGACGACTCCTCCGATCGTCGTCGCTTATACACGCCAAATGTCTCACACTCTTCCGCGATGCCAGAGGAGAACAACGGCATTAACAATTTATTTTGGTATGGCGATGCGGAACCGCTCTTGGTTCGGGGGACAAGGACTAAGGGGAGCGATCACACCCTACCAAAACTACCAACACCCTCGTTGTTGCGGTTTGTGGAGCTTGTCTTTGACGACACTGTGATAAAGAAACAAAAGCCGGGCTACTTCTATTCCAAGTGGCGTCAACTCGCAGTGGAGGGTGAAACTCAACGCCACATGATGACAGGCGTGGGACAGTTGTCGTCTTTGGTGCATCCCAAGACCGGTCTCGTCACCGTGCCGAACTATGCCGAGTTTATGGACATCTACCGCCTTCTTGAGGACCCACCCTTGCCACGCCGTGGATTTGGAAGACGCAATTACGCCGCAGGGCGCGAGAGAAAGCGGAAGCAAAGGGAGAGTATTGTGGTGCCCCAGGCCGCAGCTGACGACGCAGGGGAGGAAGAAGAGGGAAGGAAGAGCGACGAAGAGAGTGAAGAGGCTGTGGCTACCACACCAGTGGATCAGCAGAGTACGGGGACGGACGAGAAGTATGACACGGAGGACTCCCAGTCAGAGGGAAGTGAGACCCCTCGAGACGTTGTGTTTATGACAGGTGTGGCGTTAGAAGATCATCGTGCTTCACACCAAAAGAGGCTGGAGAAGACAACGTCGCGGCAGGCACCGGCGCAGGAAACCCCTGTTGAAGATTATTCTGCAAGCGTAAATGAGGGAGCGGCACCTTGCCCTGATACTAGAGAGGATGTGCAGACCAGGGACGTGAAGAGAGAGACGGATAATACAAAACGGAGGCAGCCGCCGCGGTGCCGAGAGCGTTCCCCTCGGAATGGAAAGGAGTCACAACCCACGCCAGGGGTAGTGGAGCCTCCGAGTACGAACGTTCGTATTCTTATGAATGAGCTTCGTCGCATGTTACGCCGTCCACTCCCATCGTTGCCGCCTGTTTCTACAAGCCAAGGCGCTGGGAGGATATAAAGTGGAACCGTGAGGAGGCATAAAGTGAAGGAAAAGAAGAACAAAAATTGGGGTGGAGAAAAAATATATATATAAAGAAGAGCAAACAGTTGTGGAGTCTTTTCTTTCTGCGCAAGCTTTTTGGGTCTCTTGTAGTTACCTTTCTCGACCGGTGTGCCGTTATTGAAGGTTTTTCTGATGTGTTTGGTGTTGTACGATGTGAATACCTCTTTGAACTTTGGCACATTGCGTTTATGGGCCTCAATTCTGTGATGTGAAGTAGTCTGTTCTCTCTCCCCCCCTCGATGCTTTGATTTATTATTCGCCTTTTTTTGTTTTGTTTTGCTCATGTTGGGCTTTCCATTTTGGACGAGGATCACAGGCAAAAACAAAAACGCGAAAAGTAGTGAAAAACACGTTGGGTGTCGTACACATGTAGTTCTTGTCTTTTTTTGTTTCTTGTTGCTGCGTAATGCCTGACGTGGAGTTGAAGGGCTGCGTATTTTGTATATATATATATATTTCTTTTCCTCTTTTCCCCTTCCTTTGCGCACGGTAAGCAAAGAGCACTAGAGGCCGTTGCAGTGTAGGTGCGGTGACGTTCATGCAACGGCGACACGTACGCTCAGCCTCAACGCGTTCAGGCGCGAGGAGTGAACGGCACTGCGTAGGTGCTGTCAGTTCTAAAGAAATTGTGCAAACACGGCGGTTCTTGAAGAAGCCCTTGGTAGTTGAACGATCAGCGAAGATAAACGGGCTGTCGCAACATGATAGAAAAACTCATGAGTGTGAAAAAGGATCACAATCGGCGTTGGAAGCTGATAGTATTCGGTGGCCAGCGTCTTCTTCTCTTTCTTTGCGTCATGTGAACATTCCACCTGCGTTTTGTTTGCCGCATTATCGATGGTCGCCGCTGCATACATCCTGCGCTCAGACTGTGGTGGAGGAGCATGAGGCCGTTATTCAGTGGTATGAGCAGAATCTGCGACCAAGTGATGTAAATGTAGACGATGAAGTTGCAGTTGCGTGGCTTACAACAGCGCGGTCACGGTGCGACGCGCTGTGTACTTTTGCACAGGGGCATCGCACCTTGTATGGCTTATTAGACGCGAACAAGCTTCAAGAGATGGAGGCATGTCTGCTTCGCCTATTGCTGTGTGTGAAGAGAGCTGAGCAGCATTGGAATTTGATATCAACCAGGTCATCTGTGGGAACTTCACTGAATACAACTAGAACTGCGTGTCAGCAGACTGGTGCACGGGAGAAGCACATTAGCTTTGCGAGGCCCTTAGTTCACTTTTTTTCTTCCGTCGTATTGCCTGAGGAGGAGGAGCCAGCGGGAGGTAGTTTGGTTGGCGCAACATTCCCGGTGCTGCCAGAGGAAAGCACTGAAGCTAGGGGCGAAAATGTTGATGATGCCCCCTACACAGGCAGAACCAGTGGTGTCTACTACGGTAATCTTTCTTCTGGACTAGGGGCAGTTAACACAATTTCTACTCAGCGGCCTATACGTGACGAAGAAAAAAACGAGCTTTCATGGCCTCAGCCGCGGCAGAGATTAAGCGGCTTAGTTGCTGCTGAGGACGCAGTCGAGAGCGTGCTGAGTCCGGTTTCCTCTTCCTACCGGCTCTTTTCTACGCCCTTTGTGCTCGGGTCAGGGGTGTGGCTGCGGAAAGAACGACGTGTTTGCCAGAATTTTTGGTTGTACATTTTTTTGACCACCACCTGTTGTGTGCTTTCCTTGCTGGCGGTGGTATTGGCGCGGGCAATGCTGATTTAGATGTTATCCACGTTAAGGCGTAGATGGAATGAGACGGGACGGGAGTCACGGCTTCCCTTCTTCCTGCTTTAGATGAGACATTCCCTCTCTTTTTCTTTATATTCGTTATCGTTTTTATGTCATTTCTCCTTTTTTTATTATGGACCTTCCTTCGTGGCGCTTGTGTACTGTTTGAGGCACGAAAACCTGATTGGATAAGCAAGCGCTGGCTACAGACTTTGTGCTGCGTTTTCGCCCCATCCAACCTTATTGGTGGAGTGGGCGGCAGTGGCAAGTGACCTCAAGCATCTGAGCTACGATGCATAGTGGTAGCACTGCGAGCATTACCCCACACGCGTCAAAGATACTTGCAATGTGTTGGTTCCACTTGCCTGATTGCCCCTTTAACCCTCTTCTTTATTATTTTTTTTGTTTTGTGTTGTTGTGTTTGGATTGCTTTCGACCTGATACTTTCATTTGCTCTTGTTTCGTGTCTTCAGGGTTGCACAATGGAGAGCAACAAGAGGGAGGGGCTGGCCGACGTAGCCTTGGCTTCCCAGCGCGAGGGGAAGCAGTCACGTGAAAAGCGTCATCGTCATTGCTCGAAAGAGTCATCAGCACCGCTAACTGCCCCTGATTCCGCCTTTGCTGCAGCTTCGACGGCGACGCCAGTGATGACGAGAGCTGTGGCGTCGAAGAGGATTGACGTCGTTGTGCGTGGCGTACTGGAGAGCGCGGTGTGCCATGGGCCGGATACACTTTTTGCTCGCACATATTGGGTATACGGCACCGACTGGGCACCGCTGACGAGCGTGCCTGCCGCTGAAGAGGCCATCACCGCCTCGCCGCTTGTGAAGCCGATGGAGCGTCAGATGAATAGCGAGGTGATCACGCAGCTTTCCTGGCGCTCCAATGACCCGTTTGCGCGGTTCACGTGGGCGGCCCCATTTGAGTGCGCCTTGCGTGGCACCAACCCACATGGTTGGCCACAACTTGTAGTAACGCTGCACACTGTTTCACACCTTGTGCCAACGAATAGGCCACCGCGCTCAGGAAGCGCAAGTGGTAGCGGAGAGAAGTGTCTTTCATATAGTCGTTGCTTTATTCCGTTGCGCAGCGGTACGCACCGCAAGCAGTTACCCTTGCTGCAGTTGGTGCCCAACACGCGGAAACAGGCGTGGATTTCGTGGTGGACAGGCGAGTGCTTAGAGCTGCGGGATCCAGCTTTTCTTTGCAGCTGCGAAGATCGTGGTGTATTGTGTGCCAAGCCGCTACCTGGACTCATCTCACTCTCTCTCTCTGTCATGGTCAACGGATTCACAGAGTGCGGCATTGAGCCATGAGAAGGTTGGTTTAGGGCAGTGCTGTAGAGGTGCATAGGGCGCATGGCTGGCAATGGTATGCGGGGGATTGTGGAAGTCCAAGAAGGTGTGCCGTTTGAAATCTCCGCTGCGGTGATTGGCGGTAGGAGGAAGAAACATATAGAGAGAAAGTATGCGTCCCCCACCGAAGGTGTTTCGGCCTTGTGTGTGTGTCGCGTAGTGGTGGGGTGGGAGTTGATGAATGGCAGTGAGGCGTTAACATAGTCATCGATGTCACACGACAGGCTTGCCGACAATACTAAAGGAGAAAACAACAACAAAGCCGCAGAACCCCAACAACATATTTGTTTACTCTCTCCTTTTAACACACACACACACACACTCTCTCTCTCTCTCTCTCTTCGGTGTCTCTTTTGTGCGCGTAGGGAATTCAGGTGTAGCGGAGTAGAAGAGCGAGTGGAGGGGAGTTGGTTGACTCAGCTTCCTGCCTACATTCCCTCCTGTGGACAGGTGTGCTGTTGTGAGACAGCGACGGCCACGAGATACCGACGAGGCCTACACACACAAGTGGGGAACGGCACGTCAGCCAACGGGCAAGTCCCCCAATCTTTAAGGAAAGGCGGAACAAAAAGCGAGAACAAAAGAAGCCCTCAACGAAGGGAACATTATAAAGAGATACATATATAGAAAAGAAGGAACAAAAAAAAAAGAGTAAAAGGGTGCGTCATACCTGAGCTCTCCTGGGTAGTTACATAAGACACAGTAAGCAATGAGGAAAGCAACAAAACTCCGTGGTTCTGACGCAATCACCAAATTTGGCAAGTTGCTTTCGGGTGGTGTGCTCTTCGCAACACTGTTGTTTGTATTACTGTCTGCTGCCGCCCCTTTTGCTGACGCCGCTGTTGCGTTGCCGCAGTGTGCGTGGGTATACGCCGCCAAGGAGGGTGAGATTACCACCAGTCTGCTGCAACGTTCGTGGGACCTTGACGCGTGTGCTGGCAAATACGTGACGCTGACTACGATGGCTCCCGCGCTGTCAGGTTTTGTCATTCCTAACACCCACCTTCTCGTCGTACAGTACACACCCACCATCACAGGTCTGATGGAGGGTGAGGTGCGCTACGTTTCGCAGCGACTGAGCGTCATGTGTGACGTCTTCACGCCGCTTTGCAAACAGGCCTCTGTGTACTACGTTGTACACGGAACACAAAACACGGGGCCCACTAATGATACAACGACGACGACAACGACAACCACCACAACTGCAGCACCCATTCCCTTTGCGCCCTCGTGCCCCCCCGATGGTGTTCTTCCTGTGGTAAGGACGAATATAACGGTTCCCGCGCGGCTTGAACCACTTAGTTATGTGGATAACTGTCTTGCCCCGCGGCATATTATTATCAGCAAAGTGAGTGATACAATGAAGAAATTATTCTACATTGAAAAGGGCTCCATTCTCTGGTTTGATCGTAATGCTGAAAACCAAGATGAGGGTGTCTTCAGCGTCGAACTTACTGTTTACTGCAACGAGGTGGCTTCTTGTTTTAATATTCAGGCAAGTTTTACTGTTGTGAAGCCTTCCCTCCCTCCAACTGAGAATCCACCAAACTGCAGCCTTGCTTACGGCTTCCGCGTGTTCTTTTCGCAGAATGTCTCGCTTACGATTACGCCACACAAAGAGGATGCATGCCCAGCCGGCCAAAAGGCCGTCTTTACTCTTGTATCGCCGCCGAAGTATAATGCAGAGGCTTTCCAACTGGATAATAACACAGGTAAGTTTTATTACGCTGCACCGACTGTACAATGGGTGACCTCTGACGTATTTGTGTTTGTCATTAGCTGTGCGGTGGACACCGATGGCACCAGTCATCCACTCTGCACGGGGCTTGCTAAAATTATTGTGACCTCGCCCCCCTCACCAACACCACCACCACCACCGCCGCCAGCCAAAGAGGTGGAGTGCCCGGGAAACTTTGTGTTTAACTATGAAATGGGCAATGAAAGCAAAACTGCACCAAATACCTACAATCTTTTTTTGGAAGCAGGCCGCGGTGAGAATGTTTCGTTCTGCCCTGGTGGTATTTATACCAAGGCAGAACTGCGAACGAAAACCAGCACTGGTAACTTGGTTGGATTTAACAATACTTCAGGCGTTTTTCAATACGTGTCGTCCAGCAAATCCGTTGACCATTTTGACTTTGCTCTGACGTGTGCTACAGGACGTGTATGCAATGGAAGTGCCACATTGCAGCCCCGCAAAAATCCCACACCGTCGCCGGAATATCCCTCGACGGTGTATGATCTTGGACATATTGTTTGCAGGGGCACTTGTGACGCTTCTGCGTGGCGTTCTTCACCGCGTTATCCGGGTCTTTTTGATGTCACAGATTGGCCACAGAAAGGACGCAGCCACGTGACACCCCGCCGCGATGGTAAGTCACCAGATGATATGGATTTTGAGCTTCGTATGGAGGGGAACGCGTTGTTGCTGCGGGCGTATACGATTATTGGTAATATGGCTGCTCGATTTGTGACATTCACACCTGTGGGAGACTCAAAGAGTGCATTGTTGACATCAGCCTACGTGCCCGACGGTGCACATGTGTCTTTCAATGCATCATGCCTTGACCAACAGGCAAGATCTGGAGTCGCCTCAGACATCTGGACCTGGGACGATGCTTCAGAGACAGAGGGCGGGACCACTCTGCGCGGGCATCTGAATACAGTAACTGACGCGTACAAGAGCGGCGAGAATTATTTTCAAAAGTTTGGTGGAAAACACCGAGACTGTGACGTGTACCGTAGTGATCCATGCAAGTACGCCCCAATGCTCACGCCTGCCTCCACCACAGGTGTCTCCATCGCCAACGATGCAAACGCTGAAGGTGTTATTGACTGGAAGTTATACGTGAATAATTGTGAGGCCACATGGGTGGGAAATGTTTCTCTTAACCGTCTTCGCATGCTACGCAACAGTACCACCAATGAACCACTTTTCAAAGCGGTAAATAAAAGTCTGTTGGTGGGTACTATTTACACGCAGGTTGTAAAACCCGCAAGTTGGGTGCCACCATACAAGGGCATTTTGTCCATGCAACGAGCGTACACGGTGAGAATTTCAATAGACGACTCAGTTGGCACCGAAGTTGAGGTATTTCAGGTGAAGTCTTCGGCGGGAGTGCAAGCGGAAGTGGCAACGAAGACGAATAAAGTGGAGAACATTTCACGGATACAATCAAAGCTTTCATCGGTGGTGGAATTGCCAGGGAGCGAGAACGGTTTGTTTCAGGGTTCCTTCAATGTCTCGATCGATGTGCGGTTTGCTGCTGCCAAAGATCCCATAACAGGAGAGCGTCTATACGGATACGCCCTTCTGATATATCCGTACCAATTAAATTACTCCCACATTAAGTACAGTGTTCCAATGTTGGTTCACCTCAACGCCACTCAGCTGCGTGCGACGGAGGTTCAACTTTTGAATGCCTCCTGGACGACCCCAAATCTACATGATTGCGCCCAATGTACCGGCAAAGCCGTAACATGTGCAGGCACTGGGTCTGGCCTTAACCTTGACTGTGATCCTGTCATCCGCTTTGAGCCAGCAGGAAATGTCTCTCTCTTCCACGAGTCTGGGTTGACTAGTGAAAGCGAGGGACAGTTTCTTAATATTTCCCTAATTGCACGCGTGGTTGGAAGTGGGACGGCACTCTCCGCCACTGGGCATCCTGAAGGTTCCTTTGCATTGCGTTTACGGTTTCCCGACTCCGAGACCATCGTCGTTCATGTGAAACAGCTTGCATACATTACAGGTGTTAACACCATCACACACTATGCGTTGTGTCGCTCCTCGGCCTACTGGCCTGTACCGGATGTTCTTGGTGGTTCGGTCCCTGCTAATCCGTTCAACAGCTCTCAATTATTACACGACATTTTTACTCAGCCATTGAATGGAAAGGATAAGACTAAAAAGAAACCGTATTACGGTGTTCCAAAACCTTTACACAGTGATGCCTTTTGTGCAGCAAATATTAACCCACATCGACCGGGGCATATCTTTTTGAATAGTACAACGACCATAGTAACCGACGACGGTGTTGATGCCGAGGCTCAATCTGGGTCATCGACTGTACAGTTGTCACTTTGCACAGCTCCGGATGAACAGGTGTACGGAGTAACAGACTGGGTTTATCTGACGTTGCGTGATCAACTGAAGCCTTTAAATACGTCAATCCTTGCGAAGATGTCACTGGAGTACCTCATTCTTTCTGTTGATGCAAAAGATGTCTTGGGTGTTTTTCACTCCAACAGCAGTGACAATAATATCAGGGAATCAAAATTATACTTTGTACTCGATGGAGCATCTTTGCCAGATAAGATGAATGATGGTGAGTTGGGCGAAGAAGCGGAACGTCAACATTGGATGGGTGAGACTCCAATAGGGAATTCTACGGTGTATTTGCGGTGGGAGAAGTACGCTGCTTACCTACATTATCGACGCATTTACCTTCGTTTGTGCCCGTCAAACAACCAAGATGAAGAATGTGTGCATGAACCGTTTCATTTCGCATTTGTGCCAGGATCACTTTTGTATCGTGGCAGTCCCGTTCGTGTTACGTTTCACCTGCATGCAGGTGTGCGTTATACCTCCACAGATGATGTCGGGGAGTCATGGGTGGAGGAGCACATTGCCAGGATTCCTGTATCTGCGCAAATTTCCTCAGCCCTGCGGTTTGACCGTGACGTTTACACCCCACGTGTGGTGCCACGGAGTACTGGTGGACTGAGCAAAAAGTCGGCTAGGGCGCTCTTCGTGATTCTTGCTTTGTCTATTGTGGCGGTGTTGGTAGCTGCTATTTACATTGAAATTTACTACAAACGTGTCCTGCGTGTCGCAAAGCGTCGTCTGCGGCATCATCCCAACTGTAGCGAAAATCGCCTTGACAAGCGGGGGCCGCCAGGCGTGATATTTTCGCCTTTGGAAGATAAGGACGGAAGAGCGTGGCGAGACGGCGTTGAAATGGCTGGCGCAGCGTCTGGTGGAAGGTCGGCGAATCAACTGACGCCGAAGGAGTCGCCAGAGTCACCCGGTATCCGGACAGGATACGGTGTGGTGCAGGTGGAGCCAGCCCGTGCGCAGGTATCGGAAGACAATTTTGGCGGCGAGACGTCTCCGACAAGTTCCCCCCAGCTGCGTGTGGAATAGACATTTCTGATGCAGAAAAGTCAGAAAAGAGACGTATGGGAGAGTTGAAGGAAAATATAGAGATTTAGCAAATAAGCAAACGTTACAACGTGCCCGCATATGGTGCAGGGTAAAGAGGCGAGGATGAAGATGAGGATAGGGAGAAGTAATTGAACGTGTTGAGGTGTGCGGAGGTGGGCTTCACGCTGAAGGCATTTTTTTTTTTTTTTGGGGGGGGGGGGAGGGGGGTCGGCTGTTTTTTTGCGATTGATTGGTTTTCACCGCTTGGCTGTGAGGTGTGTCCTCCTCCCTCTCTCCTCTCTCATTCCCCAGACGTACAAGAAGGGTGATATGTATGCACATGCATACTTCCCATTACTTACCAAGTACTATTTTTTTTTTGTTGGTGTTCTTTACTGTTTCGTTAGTTGTCTTTTTCCCTCTTCTTGAAGCTGGCTCTTTGAGGCGTAGTGTCACTGTGCAGATACATATATAGATGTTGACACAACTAATGGTTGTCACACCTTGGAGGCATGATGTATGTATTTTGTTGGAAGTTGCGCTGTGGCCAATGAATGGTAAGGCATGAAAGAGAGAGAGAGAAAAAAAAAAAGAATGGCCGGCGCATGCATACAAACATTGCAGTCTAGCTATACCCCCACACGAGAGAGGAAAGAGTTTATAAGCTCAACGGTATGACTGCTTGCATATAAAAGGAGCCACACAAAAAAAAAGGGCAGGTAGGACGGTGAGTGGGGAGCGGGCTGCTGTGGAGAAGCATTGTGCCCTATTCATTCTTTAAATTTCTTCCCTTGTTTTGGACTGCCTCTTTTTCTTTCTTGGCGCTAATTTTGTATTGCATGCAGTCCATGTTTTCCTTCCTTTTTGTTTTAGCCGTTTGGTAATAATATATTTTGCTGTGTCAGTTCCTCTGCATCCATCACGGGGATGCGCGTCATGGAAGTGTTGCCTACACCTATTCCCTGCCGCCGCTTTCCTTTTTTTTTTTTTGTCACGCTAACCGCCTACTTCCTCGTGTCACTTTCCTGTCTTCTTTTTCTTTCTTTCTCTCACACACTTTAGGGCTTTGTACTGGCTGGTAGGATAACTACATCGACCTCGATATTCCCTCTAGGGGGTAAACAGAAGGAGAGAAGCCTTGCTGTGGGGGGTGCGTGCAGGATTCTTTTTCAGCCATCACCCTTCACTTAACCTTGTTCTTGTGCGGAATCATTAGGTGAGGAAGCGACATTCCGACACGCGCATTGCTCATAGAAACTATACCATCCGCTGCTCTCACCGTGTGGGCACTTTACACTCGGCGTGCAGCTTGAAGGGCGGAGGGGAAGCGCTTACAGCACAAGGCACTCATTAGGGAGAACCTGGTAAGGTGGGCAACACAAGGAGAGGGGAAGCGAAGAGTATATATATATATATAGAGAGAGAGAGAGAGAGACGGAAGCAGAAGAGAAGGCAAGGAAATAAGTAAAAATAAAGGGTACAAAACAAAAGTACAGCTATATATATATATATATATAACGGTGAAACAGCTGGTGTTGCCAAAAAAAAAAAGATTGAGTCTATTTTAGCTTAAGTTGGTGGAACTGCAGATGGAGCGGTACACAAAAATACGTGTGCTGGGGAAGGGCAGCTTTGGCAGTGCCATTCTCATCAAGCGGCGCAGTGACAATGCGCTTCTCGTCATCAAGGAGGTCTTTTTGGGCAAAATGAGTAAGAAGGAACGCGAGGAGGCACGCCATGAGTGCCGTGTGCTACAAAAACTAAGTCACCCAAACATTGTACGCTACGTGGAACACTTTGAAAATCGTGATAACCTCTACATTGTAATGGAGTACTGCGATGGTGGAGATCTTCATGGCAAACTTAAAATGGGGCCAATGAAGGAAAGCACCATTTTGTATTATTATTCGCAGATCTGTCTTGCCATGGAGTATTTACATTCCCGTCACATTCTTCACCGCGATATCAAGACAATGAACGTTTTTCTTATGAAAAATGGTTCTGCCAAACTTGGAGACTTTGGCATCTCAACTGTCTTGCGCAACACGATGGGTATGGCGAACACTATGTGCGGCACACCATACTATTTCTCGCCTGAGATATGTCGCAATAAACCGTATAATAACAAGTCGGATGTGTGGGCACTGGGAGTGCTGCTCTATGAAATGGCCACTGGAAAACACCCCTTTGACGGCAGTAGTATGCAGCAACTAATGCAACGCATTGTAAAAGGCACCTATCCACCATTACCGTCACACTTTTCATCTGAGTTCCGCAATGTGGTAGACTGGTGCCTGCAGAAGGATCCTTCACGAAGGCCCAGTATTAAGCAGACGCTTGCGCTTCCTATTATACGACGTTCACTTGAACAGCTAGAGGAAAATTTGATGCTCGCCACTCAGTGCAAGGTACGTCTTAAGGACATTATAGATTTTGAGGTTGGGGGAGAGCATAATGACAACAACAATAACCATGCGGTGGTGGAACCAGTGAAGCAGGGGGGAGTCCCACTGAGATGTGCTTCGCCATATGCAAGAGCGCAAGGGATATCCCCTGGAAAAGCAGCAGCGATGGCAGTAGCAAAGCAACAAAACGAGCTTCAGCGATCACCACAGCGATCTCAGCAACCCCTGTCACCAGGTGCAGAGGCCGCAGTAGGACTTCTCGCACAACGTCCTGCGGGCAATTTGGCTTTACTCAGCCCAAAACCGACTGCCGCGGCTGCGGCTATTGACCTCAACCGGATTCAAAACTACCGAAAGCATTTATTGCAACAGTGCCAATCAGATGCTCTTCCTGGCAAGGCTGTCCCTCCTGCTCCTGTGGTTGGCGGTAAAGGGGCTGGGGCGGCGGCTTCCCCCACCTGTGCACCCCCACCGACGTCACCACTTTCCTCCCCTCGGCATCAGCAACAGCAGCAACACCAACAACAACGCAATTTGCCACCAACCACCGCGGAGTATCAAAACCAGTTTGTCAGTGAACCTTCTAGGCAAAAACCTGCGGCAGCTGCTGCCGTTTTTAAAGGTTTCCAAGAGCGAATGCAGCGTGTTAACGCCATTATGCAGCGGTACGCTCAAAACGTGGATCCAAAATCTCGCGAGACAATTCATGCGTACATGAAACGCAAACAAGATGAATACCTGCAGCGGCAAAAACAGGAGCAAGAATGTGTTCAGCGCCGGCAGGAACTTCGAAAGAAGCAACTTGCGAAGGTTATTGAACATCAAAATCTCCTTGCCCGAGGTGATTTGCCGCTTCAACAACGACAAAAACAAAGGCAGAGTCAACAAAATAATCTGACAGTGCAAGGACCTGCGCCAGCTGCGAATTCTTTACACTCACCACGGATGTTGCCTCCACAAATGTCACCACCACCGCAATCGCACCAACCACACTTAGTATTGGGACGTGATCCACGATGGGTACAGCGTCAAATGAAAGAAGCGGAGTCGCCCGCCTCTTTGCAACCAGCTGATCCTGTTCGAAATAGTAATGATTGTCATATTAGTAATCATCCCAGGGAGCGAAAAGCGAAGGTTGTGGTGCGGGGGAAAAGGAAGGTTTTTGCGGCGAATTCTCCCATTTTATTTTATCTTCCCATGAACTTGCGGCATCAGTCACTTGTTCTGCCTCCCCGAGAAGACGCAGCCCGGCCTTTTCGGTCGGAATCTGCTGCTGTTGTGGCTCCGGGCGAACAAAACGGCAACAAAGGCGGCAACAAAGGCGGCAACATGCCCAGGAAGTTGACCACTCCACAGGTGGCAATTGGAGGGGTAGGTTTGTGTGCCCCAACGAAGGGTAGGCGCTCCGTAGAAGATGCGGCGCCTCACTCCCATCTATCGGTGACAAAGGGGCCACCTCCTGTGCCTCACGAGAAACAAAAGCCCCAGTCAATGCTGCGTATCATCTCTGCACCCGTTTTTGTTTCACAGCTGGTGAACTCAAATGCTGCTCGTGAAGAATCCGGGGAAGATAACGAGGACGACAAAGGCGCAAAGAAGAATTCTACGCCGACGCACTTGCAGGTTCACGGCCTTGTACGTCGCAGTAGCGCACCTTCGCACCGTCCTGCTGGCGATTCTCATACACCGTTTACAAACGTATATAATCCATCAAAAGTTTTTCGCGATAAACAAATTATTCGTCCCTTAGCTGCAGCTGGATTTATGCCACAGGGAATTACGGCCTCACCGCAGCAGCATCATCAATATCTTCTATCGCGTGCTGCTTCTCCTACATCAGGATTGGTGGTAATGGGGGCAAGGTCGTCCTTTGTCTCCAAAGATGACTTGCATTTTGGAGTGGAAGAGCTTCGTCAAGTTGAACAACGCCGTCGACAATTTTTGCATCATGCCGAGACGGACCCTTTTCAGGAAGAGCAACCTGGAAAAAGCGAAGAAGCATCATTGCCCCAGGCCCTCAACGCAGGGGCTGAGTTTCCCAATAACAATAGGAGACGTAGAAAGATTAATAGTCAGCCTGTGGCTAATAAGACACCTTTGCCCTCGGACATTACCTGTACAGCGGCTAGAGGCAACCCTGTTAATGACAAACCACGCAAAAAAGAGATACCACCCCCTGTGTCTCTTGCTCCACTACAAATACGACTAATGCAGCCAGGTTTGTTACAGGGCAACTCTCCCACTTCCATTTCCTCACCGTTCAAGCTGAGTGGGGTATTGCCTCCAACTGCTGCGCGAGCTCCGAGTGGGAAGCAGCCTTTGTCACGGAGTGCGGGTTGCAGTGAATCCTCGCCACAAGTTGGGATTGGGCAAATGCCAGCTGTTGTCGGCGTCAGGATGTCTCCACATTCACGTGAACCTGGAGCAGGAGTATCATCCGGGGCAGCCGGTGAGATTTTTTCTTCTGAAAACTTTACTTCAGAGGAGCCTCCAGTTCTTCTTGATATTGATTACGGTTTTAGTTCTATGGCCCAAGATGACGGTGCAAAGCAGTCTCCAGTGGCAGAAAACGGTTCAACAGCTCTTTTTCCCTCAATTACGGATGTGGGGTTAGAACAGGCCGATGTATTGCAGCAGTGGAGAAATGTTGCAGATGGCCTCGAGGGTCACAAAATTCCGCACCGCGTTACTTTTATTCACAGGCAGACGGGTGCAACAAAAAAAACTTTTGGTGATGGTGACGATGTTCTTGCAGCCTTTCAAAAGGCAAGTAGGGTATGTTTAAGCGTTCCTAGTACATTAGAGGTGCTTCGAACGCTTTGTGATAGAGGGACGGAGGAAACTGGGAAGCCTTTGGACCAGCCTTCTGGTGTATCTCTAACACTACTGAAACAGAAACACCGGAGGAAACAAGAACGTGTCACTGTTGAGAATCAACCTAACGCGGCCCCAATGGGTCTGCCGCTACCGCTTTACATTGAAGGTGCAGGAGAGCAGCGTCGTGATGAGACATCACCACCGATATCGCAGCCCATATCAAGAGCAAGCAGCCAAGAAAATACAAACATTTCTTCGGAGGCGTGTTATGAAGATTTGGTGGCAGTAGAGGGGCGTCCAGCTCTGGTGACGCTTGTGGACAGTGACAACGAGGTTCGGGGAGGAAGTAATGAACTAGATCGCGTCAATCATAGTACGACTTCTGTCCCTCCTCAATACGAGCAACCGCTTGAAGGCTACCTGGAAATGCTCGATCACCTGAGGGGTATTCTATATCGTGGATTGCAGCCTTCGAAAAAGTTAGCTGATGCTGAAAGTGAAAGCAAAGACCAAACAAAAGAAGAAGACGAAAATGAAGAAAGTGAAATGGAACAACCCGACAAAGCGTCTCTCTCACCTGTGGAGGGAAAGGAGAGAAGCCATTCCGTCTCACTAAAGCTTGGGATGACTTCCACAATGCCAGTTGATGATTTACCAACACCGCATTCTCTGCTCTTGACAAAGGTGAAGCAACTGCCGCAAGATCAACCACGCAAACCAATTTCGTTTTTACTAGCTAACTGTGAAGGGAATCCGTCTTCAAATGGGAGTTTGGATGCAGATGAGGTGGGCTGCGACGATAATGTCGAGGATGAAAGCGATGAAGAGGACAATGACGATGATTTTGAAGACGCCATCCCTCTGTTAGCGATACCCGCCGCAACAGTAAGTGAAAACTATCGGCGTATTCTAGAAGATGCCTATTGTTTGCCAGAAGCTTTGTCCAGTCAGGATGCCCAAGGTGAGACTGAGGTGAATAGCGAGCACGCGTCAGCGAGTGGCGTAAAACCGTGGGATGCAGAAGAAGACGCTGACAGTAAGATTACTGATAACGCTTCACCTTTGCCACCTGGTGCTGCGGAGAAGGAGCCTGACACCAACGGCGGCTGTACAGTGACCACTTTGAATTCAGTTCTAGAGGCTTCTGCTGTAAAAACGAATGTAGAAGATTGAGCATCAAAGGGAGTCTTATTCCTTTTTTTCCCCTTGTTTTTTATTTCTTTTATTTAGTGCGAGAGTTTGTTTGTTTTTTTTTCTTATTCTGGGGGTGATTGTCGTGTTTTTTGTTGCTTGGCTTTGACTGGTGTTTGTGGACCAACTGTGCTGAGTGGCTGTGTGAGCACGGGGAGAGAGGGGCCGCCTCGTTTTCCAATAAATAAACAAACAACGGAAACACAAGGCAACCAAGCAAGAAACAGCCACCAGGAGTGGTTGAATTGTGGGTGATGAAACGTCAAATTTTCCCTGGCACATTGCATCTGAGGAAAACGACGCCTTTTAATTTCAGTGAGTTCATTGTGTGTTGATGTGCAATGATACTTAGCGGAGTGTGCAGGCGCGAGAGAGCGTGTCCGGGGACACGACTCAGTGCACGATGTTTGGAAAGGAAAAAAAAAGGAAATAAAGACCGCCGCTTCACTTCTCTATTGTATCTTCCTAATGCTTGCTTGTTTGTGGTCTTCGTCTTGAAGTCGCCCCACCATAATTTATATATATATATATATATATATATATATATGCGTTTTGTCTTTCCATTGTTTTAGGCTGTCGTTTCGCCTTTTATTGTATTGCGTGGTGCGTGGGGATTGGGAAGGGGAAGTCAATTCCGCCCAGGGAAGCGCTATCCTCTTCTGTTACGCAATAATCCAGCGATTATTTTGTGATTGACGTTCACCTTGCCTTGATTCACTTTTGGTTCTTTGCGCATGCGCGTGTTGTGCGTGTATCGTACTTCTGGGAGCGCCACCTTTTGCGCCGTGTTTCCTTTCTGCTTGAAAACAAAATAAAATCAAACGAGAGGAGAAACGTGCAATTTATAGTGAATATCTACAGACTACACTACATTTTCAGTCATACGGTCCCCCTCATGACAACTCTGCTATTTGTGCTTCTGCTGTCGTTGACTGCAGGTGTATGTGCGTGTGCGTGTGTGTGTGTATGACTGTGAAGAGTTTTACGTCCGTTCTTGTTTTTTTTTTAATGTCTTCTGTTTTATTAGTTTTTTTTTAAAAATGTATTCACCTTTTTCCCTTCAGTGAGATCACCCGCACAGGGGTCAGCCGCGTTTGAGTTTTTGCGTTCAGAAGGAATCGGGGCCGGCAAGGGGGATGAGTGAGCGGTCGCAGTACACTATGGGTATGCGGCTGTTCTACCCACGTCTCTCTGACAGCAGCCGCAGCTGCAACGCGTCTCGCACTTTGCACAATGTGGCAGAGTAGTACTTTGAACCGCTGTACAACGGCGCAGCGTAGACAACTTTTGCTGAGCCTTCCATTTCAAACGTTTTTTCGTTGAGGAACTTTGAGTTTTAAGAGGAGCGTGCGACGCCATTTGACGATTCTGATTCGGAGAGTATTGCATTTCATGTTAAATCTCAAGCCGGCGGGCTATCAGAAGACTGTAATGTGATGTCTTAGGTTTACCGCGCGACCTTATTGACTTCATCTTACAGCGTTGTGAATGCTGCAATTAAACATTGCGTAGACAACGCGGCGAGAGAAGACTGAGGTTGTGTCTCTCTCGTGAGTGAGCAAAGCAAAATATGGGCTGAACCAAATGTTTCTGATAACTGCAACGAAAAACTTGGATGAATTGGGTGCATCATTTGTCTACGATAAACAGGTGCAGGCGCCGCTAACAGTGGGGTCAATCATAGCAAGCGCGGTGGACTCTTCTCTAGATAAGAGATACCGACGCCACAGCCATCACAGATACAGGTCCCCAAACGACGACCACCTACAAGAGGAAGTGTCAGGCCTACGATGACACCTGATGACGGAAAAGCATGGGTGCTTTTTTACCCATGCCGTGGAATTTGTTGAGCATCGGACTCCGTGCTAAAGGTACCTGTTAACGGATGGGAGAAGAAATTGGTGGTACCTCCACCTGGTCGTCTTCCTCAATGCGTATTGGACGTTATTGCGGGTGGAACTGTGGGCACAGAAGCTAGAGGGAAGTTAAATGAGGCACTTTTCACCCGCGATAAGCCATCCGCTGTGGGTGGTGATCATAGCATCAATAGAAAACCAGAACCAAAGCCGCCTCAACGCTTTGCTGTGCCCAGAGGCATGGAGAAACAGGAGCGGAGGGGGATGGTACGAGCAGAGGTGGAAAGATATCAAAATGACAATACGTATAATGAGCATGATGTAAACAGTGAATGGGTCACGCTGCGTCGATGGCTTTTGCGTAAGTACAGGAGCAATGGTAGTAAATTGCTTTATGGGGGGAGTGAGGTTGCTGTAGCGCTGCACGATTGGCGCTGGAAGGTTGAGGCTGCAGCAGAGTGTTTTCTTCTTTAGCTTCAGCTTGTGTGCATGGATAGTGGGAGCGGCGCGCGCTGGTTTCCGCCTTCGTGTAGGTGAATATGGTCTTCTGACGCGGTGATCCCCTTTCTCCGCTTCGACGATCATGAAATCCTTAGGCTACTTCGCAGCAGCACCCATGTACAAGTGGAGTCAATTGACAAGTCGTACAGCTTTTGAGGATAACACCATTGTGTTTCACAAACTCCCTTACATGCCGTATTCAGCCTTATTGAAGTGAGGTGCGCCGCGTGTTTGTCGGAACCCTTAATCGAAGCTCTTGGATGATAGAATTGATGTTAATGAGGATGATTACATGAGGGTTTTTTTTTTTTGGTCTTGGCTCTTTCCCCATTTATGACGCAGACGACGTTATTTTATTGTTTATACATTACTTTTGCACGAGAGCTACATTCTTGCTGCCGATCCTGGTGCATCTTCATCACACAGGCTTTCAGATGGGGCAAATATGAATGAGGACGACGAGGAGAGGAAGAAAAAGTGGCAAGTGATACAAAAACAGATTGACGAGGCGCATCCGCATCGACGGCTCGCGATGGCACAAACACTGCATGATTTTGTGTAGTCACATTTAACGGCGGCCTTTCTGTACAACGTCGAGGCGTGAGGGATGATGGAGGAACGCCACTCATGTTCAGACAGCTCATAGCTTTTGCAAACCCGTGAGACTGAAGGGGATCCCACAAGTTTTAACGCGGGAGCTGTGTTGCTGGCGGATACCTATTTTGTCGTTTTGCGTTCACATTCCTCTTTGTTAATTTCAACAGGATGAGATGGGAACGGTGCCGCAGTCACCGTAGACCCTGTGGTTGCCGATGCTGCCCATTAAACAATTTTGCCAAATTCTAGTGGACATGGCTGTGCAATCGACAGTGGCTTATACTGACAAAACTGCACGCCCGTTGACGTTGACCCTCTTGCCCCACCCGTTTTTCATTGGAGTGGATTCTTCATAGTCGTTTGATGGCAAGCTGGCTATGCTGCACACAGAATTTGTTTGCAGTAAGCTGCTTATAGCAAGGCCCTGGTGGCCAGGGCGAAGAGTGCAGCCTCTGTGAAGACAAGTGGTCACAGAAGCGGATCTCCGCTCGAGAGCGGACTAGAGCTGCAGCGGTTGTCATCTTCTCTTCATTGTTCTCCCGCAATAAATAAGGACAAAGATGCCGTATCTATGGAAGAGAAATTCTTGAAGGCCCGGTGTTCCTATTCCTACACCTGTTCCATCTCAATTTCTCTGGCTTTATAGATGGCGTAGATGCCGTCACCTGCGATACGTGATGGTGACAGGACAAATGCGTCATTATTTTTCCGGACACTTCCATATTCCCCGTCATCTTCTGCTGGGGGAAGCAATACAAGAGGCAAGCACAATCGATGTATCCCTGGAGAACCCAAAGGCAGCTACAGCGTGACGGTTATTTCCGTGATGCGTTGACAGTAGGCCCAGTGATTGGTCTAGAGAGAGAAGCGTTGAAGGAAGAGAGGGAGAGAGAAAATAGTTCCGCCACTTCCATGTGGAAGCAATTGCGGCAGAGGGTGACAACAGCAGGAAGAAGTGTGGCAAAGGGCTCGAATGTCCACTGTGACGTGATACCATCGAAGTGTACGTTTCCTGCAGAGTGAGGTCTCACAGGTGACCGTATGGGGCCTGTCTCTCTTCTCATCTACTACTCAATTTCACGCGTACTTGCGTCCGCGGGCTTGCTGCAGCAAACTTACGTATATCAGAAGGAAGGCCTGCAAGAGAAACGGTCCCTCCACGTGGTTAATGACGACCATGAGGACGATGACGAGTGACCCAGGCTGCGTGGTCAGGGGGAGTTTCTTCAGGTGGTGGCAGCGGTGATGCTTACCAATGGCAAAGAGGATCGGTGTCATTCTCATCAGAAGCAGCCGCAGGAGCAGGAGTAGGACGGTGCTGGTGATTCCCCAGCTTCATCCATCGCGCATGGCACTAAGGCGGCCGGCAAGTGTGTGCGAGAACGTTCGTGAGAAGAAGCTGGCGGCGGACACGGGTGACGATTTTTTAATTCGCGTACAAGGCGTTCTTCCCTGACCACGGTGTTTTTTGGACGCTGCAGTGTCTGCACCTGCAGCATGTAGAAAGAGAATGAGTGATGAATTTCTGTTAGTCTCCCCCGATGACGACAATGAAGACGGCGTCGAAGATGACGAGATTCATAAGATGAAGAAGCGTGAGGAAAATGAGAGGAGGAGGACACGGGGGACATCCGTGTCTTGGACAGGGATACCTTTCTAGGTTCCAAGAGGGTTTAACGTTGCTCACTGGCGACAGGGCAGTGGAGTTATCTACATCGCCGGTACATTTAAAAGCTCCATGTGGATGGATTCCGTTGCATTACTGCTTGAATCGTTAGAGCCGCAGCAACAATACGGGAGAGCTGACGAGGCGATGTGGGAACTTGTGCGCAAAGACGACGACGATGGCGAGGAAGATGACGAACTTGCACCTTCCTAGCATAAGTTATGTCTCTTGTTGTTCTTGTTTTCACTTCTCCTCCCAAGAGAAGGGCGTAAAGTAGTTACATGTTATTACTTTTTTTTGTTTGTTTTGTGTGTGTGTTCTTGGCATTTTATGTTGTTGTTGACTTTTTATTTATGCGTCCATCCTATGGGAGTGCTCTTGCGTCGTGTATACTCCATCGAGGTTTTTTTTACCCTTGTCATTGGGTTGGCGGCAGTGGATGCAGCCTCGACGACAACCCGCCCCTTCCTCACTCCTCCCTTTTCCGCACACCTGACAAATTTATCTCATCTCCTTTGACCTACACGCACAAGAAAAGGGGGTAAAGACGAGAAACGGGCTGGGTAGCACATCCAGACAAGGAAGAGGTGTGTGCACGAGCACACGCAAAAATACATAAATACATATATATATATATATATATTGCAGTCAAGAAGGAAGAAAAAAAAAAGGTTTTAGGGGAGAACCAAAACGAGATTGCAAAAGAGCATAGAAGGGACGCAGTACGTACCAGTAGGGTCTTTGTGTGGTTGGACGGGGCTGCCAATTTTGGGGGCTTCTCACTCCTAGTCTGCGTGTGCGACATTTCGGTCTGACGACGGAGGGCGAAACAAGGAATTAGAGAGGTTGGCCGACAGCAACTGTGTCGTGCCTACCAACATTGCTTTTGCTTTTACCCCTCCTTCACCACGGCCGCCTCCCTCTCACACCGCGGTGTGAGTTTCTTACTTTACGGGAATGAACATAGACCTCTCCTTCAAATCTATCTCCGAGCTGCGCTTTGATCAAGCGCGGGCGTCGGAGGAGGAGGTGCTTGTCGCGAGTCGTGTGCAGTCGCTGAATGCCTGCAACAACCGCATTAAGCGCATCATTGGCCTTGGAACCCTTTTCAACAACCTTGCCCACCTGGATCTTGCCTACAACGACCTCGGCAGCCGCGCAGGCCCCGATCTTTGCAGCTGGCTCGACGCCATGCCGTTCTCACTCCGTGTGTTAAACCTTGCACACAATGCGCTGAGTGTTTTCATGCCCACCGAGACTATGGAAGGTGGTGTCAAGAATAGAGGTGAAGGCAACGGAAGCGCAGCTTCGGTAGCAGCAACCCCCGCTGTCGCTGTGTCGGGGAGGATGGAGAAGGCTTTGGAGCGTCTGCGGCGAGCGTGTCCAATCACGTTGGCTCTTTTCTTTAGCCGAAAGCGATTTCCCTACTTGCGGGAATTGGATCTTTCGTACAACGCGCTGAGTTTGACGCTGGATGAGAGTGATCGAGTGGAAGCCATGTGGCAAGAAGCTGTGGAGGGCCCAGCTGTGGCACATGCATTTAATCAAGAGGGCAATACAGCGTGGTTGCACCAAACAACATCTGCAGTGGCCGTGTTACAATTGGACGGCAATACACATTTAACTGCACTCAATGGTGTGCTCTGCGGGATGGAGGCGTTAACACACCTTCAGGCAGCAAACTGTGGGGTGTCTGATTTGACAGCTGTTTCTGCAGCAGCAACGTTTTGCCCGAGGCTAGAACGTCTTGATATGCATGGTAGCCCCGTTGCAGATGCGTTTATAAACGCCCCACGAACAACCATTTCCACATTTATTGAGTTGCTGCTGCAACCTTGGATTCTTTCTGATGTTGGGGCGGTTGATTTACAAGATGAAACGAAGGAAAACGAGTTAGAGAAGCGCGCTACGCTGCAGCGTATTGTTCGCGAAGTAGCGCAGCAACGTGTTGAGCAAATAGAAACTATTCTCTTGCGTCAGCAGCGTTCTCGTTGCAGCACACTATCCCAAGTGCTGTACGCGGCACTGCTACAGCAAATTATTCCACAAGTTGTGGAATTGGATGGGGATATAGATGTGAATGCTGCGCGGGAGGGGCTTATGAACGCCATGCGGGAGGTTCTCGAACAGGTCGTAGAAGACATTGATAAATCAATCACCCCGGTGGGAAGCACCAAAGCTTCACTCTCCGGCGTGAGCTCACAGAACAGGGCGTCACAGGAAAGGCATCGAGAGAGAAGCCAAGTCAAGCAACCAAAGCTTGTGAACTCCCATGGGGGTACGGATAGGTCCAGAGATCTCTTGGAAACTCAGCTGCGTAGTACCAGCTCAGTGGCAAGGAAGGGTAGGGAAACGATTCCCGCCTCGGACGGTGTGACCAGCACAGTTTCAAAGTCTGAACGATCACGCAGTGCAAAAGGCATGATGATGAGGGCTGCAGCTGCGGCTGCGCAGCTTCGACCGGCAGTGGTGGTGACCGGTTCTTCCACCCCTACCACCAGCAACAATACTACCACTGCCTCCTCCAAGATCTTTGCTCCTAGCAGCGCCTTTGACAATATCGTGGCCGATGCCGAGAATAGAATCAATGTGTCGTTTAGTCGAGAATTTGAATGTACAACGGCAACAACAAACTCCATTGATGCCAGCAATAGCAGCAATAATGGGGTCTGTGGCATTCAGAGCCCTGCTCGTAAGGACAAAAGTAAATTTTCATACGACTGGAGGAAGGAAGACATATCACACGTATGCGACTCGGCGGACACTACCAACACTACGGTTAGTGCACCAGCGGCCGCACGGACGCACAGTGACAGCAGCAGTTTTTGCGAGGAAAATGGAGGTAAAAGTCGATTTCAACGTGCCGTTGCCGCCCTGACGCCAATGCTGCTGCATCGACTAAGAAGCGAAGGTTTGCCGGATCATCGCGCTGTTACCACCAACCTTGCTTGTTCCTCAAAGGATGAGCGTGACACTTCAGCTTTGTCAACATTAACGTCGAATAGTAGCATCTTGACAATGAGGGAGACACTGCTGCAACAGGCGCGAGCCCTTGAGACGGCTCTCCTCGCCTCACAGAATCGACAGAGGGGCATGCAGGAAGATGTGTCACGCCTAAAAGAGCAACTTCAACAAGATCGCCGCCTTATCATTGATCAACGCAAGGAGGCAACGTGTCTGCGACAGGAATTAAACCTCCTTGTGGAGTCGAATAGGCGTGTCGCGCGTCGTGTGAAGAAGAGGCAAAAGGAGATTGCCTACGGTGCAGCCGCTCTTAGACGTCGAGAGGCGGTGTCACAGCGAAAGGCCGCACTGGAGTATATTGAGCGGGAAGAGAAATCTCTCCAGCAAGCTGAACGCCAACTGCGGGAGAAGTTGTCGCTGAGTGGGGCGTGGACTCATACACATCTGACGGACTCTACCGGACTCGTTCAGGTGACACCAACAAATGGGATGGAGACAATACCACCACGCAAGACGCGGGCGAATTTACTTCGTGAGAACGCCGTAAAGGAGCGAATGACCGCCATGCGTGAACAGGACACGTTGTCTTATAGCCCACGTAGGTTTCGTCCCAGTGAGTACTGTCTAAACGGCGGGGATAAAAGCAGCAATCGGTCGATGACTGACACCAGCGTGCACGCCCAAACAGAGCGGCACCAATCTCTGCGTGAGACGAGGAGGTACGGCAGAACTATGGAGAGAGATCGTAGTCATAGTCAAGGTGGTGCAGGGGAACGAATCCATGGAAAGACGCCGTGGCGTAAGTACCGGAGCAGCTCGTCATCATCGCATACAACCACATCGACGGGGAAGACAGAGAGGAAAGAAGCGGAGCAACACTCCATGTATGACAAGGGGTTCAGCCCATACAGCGACGTTGAAAAGAGTGAAGGCGTGCCTGATAATAGGGGTAATAAATGTCATTCAAAGTCCCTTGAAGGGCTTTCACTTCAACAGCTTTTTGAGGAGGCAGCAGCTATACAACATCGGCAGCGTATGCTACACCAGTGCATGAGTGGTGTGGCTAACGCTGTTCGAAATGAGGCCGTTATACGGGAGACAGGAACAGGGGAGCGTGATGTGACCTCTCATGACGATGCGCCTCACGGCGGCGACGATGTTGAGGTTACTTTTGGAAGGTACACACCATCAACGTGCATAGGAGTGGTACAAGAGACAGGTAACGGCGGAGCGACGTCGCACGTTGCTGTCAATGATCTCTCGTGGCGCGCCGCACATGGTGAGAGTCAAACCAATGAACCGAAAATGGAGACCAGTAATTGCAATGATGATGATGACTCAGTGGACGTGGTTGTATCACTGGCTGAGAGTCAGTTTAATGCAGACCTTATCGTTGCCACCGTACCGCCACCACTTCCTTCTTCTGATGCGCCAGTGAAAAACGAAAACGTCACGGAAGAACCAAGGTGGCACACAGGCGCGCCACAACAACAGTACAAGGGCGAGGACGAGTGTTTAGCGCCGTTGCTTCGTACTGCAGAGGGGCACTTTTCCATGGATGCCCGCCGTATATATACAGAGATACTGCGCCAAAGTCAAGAGCAATATGAACAAAGAATACGAGAAGCCGCTCATCCTGAACAGCAGCGAAAACAGACCGACGTGGACGGGGTGAAGTTGGGGGGGAAGGAGGAAGTAGAGGGGGAGGAATTATCTACTGTTTCAACTGAGCCAAAAGGTTCCTCGATCACCGAGAATGAGAATACTGAGCATGATGGAGGTGCAACCAAAGAAGCCTACTCGTGTTACGCACACCTCAACGAAGACGATCGTCATGCTCGCACGACGCGACGTGCGCTTTTCTTCTTGACTTTCGAGTCATATATATATATATATATATATATATATATGCGTGTGTGTGATTTAGCTTGGGAACAGCAGGGGGAATGATTTAGTTTCGAAGGGCACGCCATCCCCTGTTGTTTGCTGTTTCTGTTTTACAGTTTGTTCCTTTTCTTCTTACTCATCTTTCATTAAAAAAAAATAAAAAAATGTGTCGTTTCTTTTGTTTCTTCATCACTGTTAGTGCAGGCTTCGTTGAGGATGTTGACACGTGTTCTTAATTAGGCAGGGAACAGGTCATCGGTGAATGGTTTCATGACCTTTTTTTTTCGTTTATTTGTTTGTTTGGTTGTATGACCTGTTGCACCCCACCATTCAGTGAAGGACGTACTACAATATAATACTCGTTCGAATTATGCATGGATGCATGCGCTCGTCTGACGTTGCACGTTCTCTCATGGTTTTATCGCCTTTCCATCCCTTCTAGGCATTGCGTTGCCTTCTTTCCCCTTGCTGCGTCACCCTTCTCACAGAAGTAGAAACACAAAGTGCGTCGGCTTCTGTGTTCAGGGATAAAGGTCAATACACAAAGCAATACAAGGAAGGGAAAATAATAACAAAAACAGACTATATTATAAGATACGTATAATACAGGACGAAATTATTCTGACTTTTGCCTTCCTTCTGCACCTGTTCAAGCGAGTAAGCAAGGGAAAAACTGACAAGGTGGTGCGAGCGGGGGGGGGGGGAGGGGACTGCAAGAGTGGACAAAGAGAAAGAGTTTTTCAAAACTTTTTCTGTGGACGTGTCAAAGAGGGTGTTTTGTGATAAACGGAGGGACGCAAAGGGGCGTACAGTCTCACGACAAACCGCCAGGCCGAAGGAGTTGTGTGGAGTCACAGTACTTCTAACCATCCTACACCCGTCCTTTTTTTCCGTTGCTTCCTCTTTTTGTTTCACGTTCAGCGTCGTGCGCGTGATCGTTGTGGCAATAAATGTCAACAGATGGGGTACAATCCAAGGACACCACGTCACCGAAGTGGCAAGCTCAACCGGTGCGGCACGCATGCACCCACCAGGGCTTTCAGGGAATTCTCACGGCGGATGCCTCTGGTTGTAGTTTCACCAGCGATCTGTTGAAGGTAGAATTTGTTTGGGAAAACGTGAAGTGGATTCGTGTGACCACAAAGTACATTAAGGATGAACCAACCTCGGTACTAGTACTCAAGCTGAAACGAGGGAAGCGCCTTACTTCCCGGCTTAATAATGGTGGTAAACATTATTTTTACCATCTTATGGACATTGTAGAAGTATCCAAGGAGCTCCAGGAGCTCAAAGACTCTGCATCCAACTCAGACATAGTGACTGGAACGGGGTCCCCTGAATCGAAAACTGATGTGACTACAACTACCAACGCTATGGGCCTTGGTGACACTGCAAGGGCCCTGCTACTTGGTACCAATAGCGATAGTAGTTTGGCAAACTGCAATCAGGCCAACCAAGCTTCACCCGTTGGTGGAAACACAATTGCCAAATTTGGCAGCCCTTTACAGCCTGGAGGTAAAACTGTTGGAAGTCCACAGGCAGCCTCTTGTAACGTCTTGCGTCAAGAAGACGATTTAGTGAGCTCCTCCTCCACAGGACGTTTAAGGAGACCTTCTAACATTCGTGACGACGGTGAAGAAGGGAACGATGGGCGAAACAGCGGTGCAGTGGGCGTGAACGTGCCTCTTACCACTAATGCCCAACGCCACGGGGATTCAAAAAATAATAGCACCTCTCAGCTGCAGCGAGGTAGTGCAGTGGCCATCATCAACCGAAAACGCCGTGGAAGACAACGTGAATCGGATAGTACCTTGTGGTCTCGCTGTCATGTCTGTGCTTGTAGCATATTTCCTGAGGGTCTGCTGCGCGTTGTCGTGGTATTGGGAGTAGTGTTATTGGTGATCCTCACCTTGGCTCTGTCCCTCTGTGTACTGATGGGAGTGTGGGATGGAGAACGCTGGTATGAATCGTCTCCTGGAGAGACTGTAGTTCGCGTTACTCGCGCATTGGAGCAGCTAAGACAGTGGCGTACAGAACCGCATACGTCAGGTGCCATAAGGAACGCAAACCGTGGAGCGTCTGCGACAGTGAAGGTGAAAGCGACGCGATCAGCGCCGCCCGTCCGTGTGACGCTGAAGGATATGACAGTCGCTGTTGAGGAGCTTCTTGCGCGCTATGTGGCGGTGCAACACGAAATGATTGTAACACGCGTAGAACATGTGAGACGCGAACACATGTATCCCGAGTCAACTCTTAGCGCGCGGCGTCGTTTGCTTGATGGTGTCCCTCTTGATTTTCTGCAGTATGAGGACGAAAATTGGGAGAACATATATAAAAATGATAATTGTGAGGAGGATGTTAGGAATGCTGATGTTGCGTCACAAGAAGAGCGGCATTGGAAACCACTACTTAGATTTTCCGCAGCACACGTCAAGGCCGATCTGAGTCGACTGCTGCGTTATGCTCGTGAGGCGATCGCAGTAGTGAAATGGGCGCTTTCAAGGCGGAGTGGTGCCGTTAATGAGCAGAGCCAATCCACACCCTTCTTTGTGCGATGGCTTGCGTTCAAGCAGGACTGGCGTGACAGAAGCTGCAGTTCCAAAAATGCCCGGGAGACGCAACAAATTACACGGTACACAGAGGTGCTTGCGAGTGGACAAATTGTTGCGCAGGAGGTCAAACTTGCGGATCACGATGAGCGTCGTACGTGTCTTCGACTCACGCGGGAGCTTATTCGTCTTTCGAGCCTGATTGAGGAGCTTTTGCTGGAGTATCAGGATGTGGTGATGGCGCCGTTATATGAGGCGCATCTTCATCAAACATCTTCTACCATCTCCGGGGTGGATAGGATGCACAAGGTACTGGGAGCCGCGGTCGCAGGAACGTCATTGGGAAACGACCCCAATGAAAATGGCTTCTTCTCGGGAGACAGCAGTCATCTACTGCGTTCTATCCTGCTTAGACGACACACCCTTGCGCTCCTTTACTTTGACCCTTTGCAGACCACCCATGACGACCGAGAACACACAGTAAACCGACAGTCGCATAATTTCAGATCTTTCTCGACATCGACGAACAAAAGTACTAAAAAAGGGAGACAAACCAATTCGACAGAGGCACCTACCAAAGAAGATGTGAGGGCTATACTGCGAGACTTTGTCGCAAGTACTACTGACTCCTCCAACATGTATGACCCCATACTCGCGGATAATTATGGTGCATTGCCGCGAAATATCCTGAGAGAGATGAAATATTGGTATGAACACGAAGAGGAGTGGCAAACTGTTGTCTTGTGGCGACTAAATTCAATAAACAAGACTCTGAATGCCACGCAAATGTCTAATGGTGCAAGGAAAGAAGAAAATGAAGAAGAAGAAACGGAGGAAGATGATGATGATTTTCACAATGTCATTGACTCACTACCGCTGTTTCGTGGTCTTTGGTGCTTTATGAGGCAACCTATAAGACTTTTTCAGGAGAGAGGCAAAAGAAGAGACGACGTTCTCTCCTCAACCTCAACTCCAATTCCTTCTGAACACGCTCAAAAGGCCGTTGCGGTTCCCAAAGGCATTGATAACGAAGGTGGTTTGGAAAACGGGGATAGAGTTATTCAGAATTCTGTTACGGGTGGGGATGAAGACAGTGAGCTGGTTGAGGAGATGTACGAAAGGAGGGAGACGGACACACTTTTTAACGACACGAGCGTTGATCCGCGACCAGCTGTGTTGGTGACGATGGATCCTGCAGAAAGGCCCTCAAGTAAAGAAGAGCACAGAATGAATGATGAAATGGGAAGTACGGAGGAAGAATGTGGGGCAACGGAAGCTCGGATACGTACCTTTGAGCTCATCTCAGAAGAGGCCCAAATTCGTTGGATAAATGCCTTTGACCTTTTTCTTCGTTCTCACGAGGACCTGCGTGAACAATGGGCTCAGAGTAACAGGGGATGGGATGGGGAGAAGTCCCATGAGTGGGATGTTGAGGAAGGTCATGAGGAGAGCAATGTGGTGCGTGTTCGTCGGCGGTTTGTCAAATTACTTGGATGGGTTGAACACCACTACGAGAAATATCTCACAAGAGACGCGGTGACCTTGTTAGGGTCCTCTGGTGCGCTGTTGGAATTTGCGAAGCAGTGCTCGACTCTGCGGGGGTGGTCTTGGTGGACCCTGTTGTGGCCACCATCGTGGTTTTTGGGGGTTATAATGCCGCAGTCGACGAGAAGCTGTTGGATGCTGCGACCAAGACATGTGGATCCTGCGGTTCGCCGCCTTTACCGCAACATGTTGCATGTACCCTTGGGTGACATAGAGGATTTGCCATTGATGCTACTCCAGACACTCTCAATGCCATCAGAACTGCTGAAGTCTCAGCATAACATGCATACTTCTATTCATGTCCTATGTTGGCTGCTTCTACTAGTGGTTCTGGCGACAGTTGTGATTGTCGGTTTCCATTGTTAAAATGCAGAGATGCAGAGATGTGCAGTGTCGTTGAAGCCTTATTAAATGTTGATAAATAAGGGGTGACAGTGAGGGCGAGCGACAACATTGTTGAATTGGGCGTGAAATTCGGAGTTTGTTTGTTTTTGTTCTTATCTGACGATAATGCTGTGATGTATGCAGATTATATCTTACGGCAGCGTTGTTGTTATTGTTGTTGTTTTTTTTGTTGTTGTTGTCTTTTCTGCTTATGCTTGTTTGTCATTAATGGCTTACACGTACAAGGGTCATAACGAATATATTCTGCTCCTGTGCTTTGCATTGATCTTTTGTGCGTCTGTTACATTTAGCTTTTGCGTTGCCATTACCTGTTTTGGCGACTCAGTTTTGTCATGTGTCTGTTATTTTTCTTCTCCGCTCTTCTACGTGGAATAAGAGGCGAAGGAATAGAGGCACGGAGAGTACATTGCGTCACCCACCCCCACCCCCACTATCATCGTCACTGCACACACACACACACACAGGCACACACTTTCGTATTAATTTATTTTGGTAACTCCAACGGAACTCCCCTGCATTGACGGAGGACACACCGCATTATGTCCAGCTTGACCGGCGTTACGGCGGCCACCACTACACTACCCGTTGAAAACTGGGGGGCTCTCAGATGGGCCACTCGGCAACCGCAGCAGAAACTGGCGGATGTCAAGAAGGAGGAGAAAACAGGTGACGAGAATGGTGCTAGCGTGGATGGTGATACAGAGGTTGTGCTACAGCTTGTCTCCTTGCCCAAGCCACAGCACCACAGCAGTGGAACACCTCCCAATGTGGTGGGGAAGCCCATTATTGAGATTCCTGTTTCTTCCATCGCAAGTGCCTCAGCAACGACAAAGAACGATCTCTCACTTTCCTTACGTCCACAGTCTTCTGTTACCACAACTCAGGGTGGTGGGGGTGTGGCTATAGAGTTGACCTCTATCCGGTTTGCGATCCCCAATGTATGCGTCGGTCACGAGCAGACGGAAGAAGCAGGGCGTGAGATACTTGCCGAAACGCAGGACGCGATTAAAAAACATCAGTCTCGACTTCTTGGTGCTGTTGGTGATGCTTTCAATGCGGGGGCGGATAACCAGTTGCTGATGATGATGGCTGGGGGACCTCGCAGGGACGAACGCGTTGTCGCGGTGCTCGACGATCTCACCCTTTCGTACCCTTCTGGGCGCTACAAGCTGATTCTCTCGAACTACTCCTTAATACTGGAGGACAAGAAGCGTGCGGCGACAGGGAATGGTGGCGTCGCGGTCTCTGTGCCGCTTAGCGATGTTGTGCAACTGTATCTCTGTGATATTCCTGACAGCGGTGCTGGGGAACAGGAGAATGAGGAGCTTGCACAATACGTCGTTGTGATTCTGCGCAATCCATTGAAGGTCCGTACCACGACGTACAACCACCTTGTTATTTCTTGCCCCGCTGGCTTTTCCCTTGACGAAGAGCACCCGTGGCGGTGCCAGCTGGAAACGCAGGAGGAGATTGACGGCCTTCTCGCCACCCTGCCCCACAACCAGAGCAACGCTGCAAATGGCGCGGAGGGCGGCAAGGTAATCAGGAATACTTTCGCGCCAATGATGTCAGGACGTGTCAGTGAAATCCTCATCCGGGTTTTGAAGGCGTTAACGGGCGTGACGGCTCTTGGTGGCTTTAACAGGGAGTACCAAACGAGCAAGGGAAACTCGGTACTGCGCTGCTTGCACCACGGTGCTCATGGACTTCTTTTCGTTCTGCAGTCAGCCCTCCTGTTCTTGCATCGTCCTGTGACACGTGCCCTGCTGAGCGAAATCACGCATGTGGAGGTAGATGAGGCAGGAGGCAGCGCAACGTTCCAAATGGTGGTTTACGGAAAATTTGGCGGGCGTGTCAGCGCTGCAGCGGAGAACAAACTTGTTTTTTCCGCCCTTGACAAGCGTGAAAAGGCGGATCTATTGGAGTACCTTGGGAAGAAGGTGACGGTGCGGCGCATTGGTCTGTCGGTCGATGATGACGATAACGACGATGACGACGATGAGGATGTGGATGAGGATGAGGATGAGGAAGACGAGGCCGAGGAGGAGGAAGAGGAAGAGAGCGACGATGATGATGGCGACAGCGATTATGAAATGAGACGGCATAAACGCTCCCGCCAAAAGAAGGATAAGTCAGAGAAGGAGAAGTCAAAGAAGGAGAAGAAGGAGAAACACCATCACCACCATCACCACAAGAGGCATAAGAAACACAAGAAGGAGGGAGAGTGAGCGGCTCCCTTTTTTTTTTTTTTATTTCCTCACTCCACGCACCTGGGTGAAACTTACATGTGTAGGACGCCGTGGGAACTTATGGAGAGCGACGGAACGAGGAAGGCGGATAGAATAAGAAGGAAAGGGCGAAGAATACTGACCAACAGAAGGACATAAAAATTTATATAGTTTATCTTCTCATACATAGAGTGAGAGAGAGAGAGAGAGGAGGGAATATGCGGCACCTTTTAATCTTTTCACACTAAGCCTGCGGTATTAACACGTTTCAGTAGGGCTCTCTGCTTGACGTCACCGTTTATTGTGTGCACATGTGTTTCTTTGCTTACCTCGCTTTTTGTTTTTCTTTCTTTGTTGCGCACACACAAGTCTGCTTGTGTGTGCGGAGCTTTTTCTTTCTCCCTTATCCATTTTATTTTATTTTGCGTGAATTACTTTTCACTCTTCACTGTGCTTCCCCTCCCTCAGAGGTACAAAGCAACGTTCTCCCTCGCTACCATTTCCCCCTCCCCTCCTTTATTTCTGCTTTTTACTTTGAATACTAGGTGTGTGTTTTTTTTTTGAGGTGTTGGGCATGTATGCAGGAAAGCGCTTTACCTCACCGTTTAGTCCGGTGTCTCGGCATTCACAATCGCCCTTCATGGCGCAGCGTGGCAGACAAGGAATGGCGGCACCCGTCACCACTGCTTTATCCTACAGTCACCCAAGACGGTTGACGAACAGTCGTGCAGCATCAAGTACTGCGCGGCGAACGGGAAGTGGAAGAGAAATGAGTGAACCACACTTGGGGCGGAGGCGGGCAGCATCTAACGGCGGGAGGCAGCGTGGGGGTTATAATATGGACACCAACACCAAAACAGTGGGTGACATCGCCTCTGACGCACGACATGTCAGTTTTACGAAGGGAAAGGGCTTTTTAACTGACGGCAACTCCTGCATGGCGTTCTCGGAAAGTAATCCCAATAGCTACAGTCAGCGCAGCACCAATGAGAATGGTTACCAGGTGCGAAACCTCCTTTTGGAGTTGGTGGAGATCAGCCAGGCATTAGCTGCCTACTTGCAGGATGGTTCTACTCCTGTGATGCAGCTGCCACAGCATGGCATCAATGATGGTGGCCTTACGACCCGTCCACACTCTCAACAGCAGGCAACCCTAAAGGCGCAGGAGATTGAGCGTATTGTGAAACGCGTGGGAAATCACTATGCAGCAAAGATTGCGTCCATGGAACAGAGGGAGAAGGAACAAACTTCAATCATTGCCAAACTACGTAAAGAGCTTCAACGATTGCAATTGCAAGAGCGCCCGCATTCTCCTGCTTTATTGTCCAGCAGAAACATGGATCTTAGAACCCTGTCTCGCTCGGGTCCGTATTCGCCGGCTGCTCCTTATGGCGCACGTCCTACTATTACTACTACTAGTACTGCTACTGCTTCAAATGGCAATAGTGGTGACGGCCATGGTGAGCAGACTACGGAGGTGGAAAACCTCCGCAGCATGTTGCAGGAGGAAAAACGTCAGCGTCTATTTGTAGAGGAGCAAACGCAGTCTCTCTCAGAGCAACACGGACGCGTTGTTAGGACCCTTGAGCGACGACTACAGAAGCAGGAGGAGCAATTGCGTGAGCTGGTTGCCTCGCTGGAGCATCAGGCACGGTTTGAGCCACCGTCGCCAACCTCTCGCTCTCCATCTGCGTCGCATCATTCACCCGCAGTCGTGGCACCCTCGCCGCGTTTACTGTTGCGGCAACAGCTGGTGCAGCATGAACAGACACAACGAGCCCTTGAAGCATATCGTCGAAGCCTTCATGGTGCTCAGGGGCTAAACACAAGTAATCGAGATACTCGCCCTGCTGATAATAACCGAATGAATCCTAATCGTGACAACGGTGATACCCTTGATGACGATGACGTTTTAGTGGAGCTTGGTCTTGCTGAGCCAAAGCCCAAAATGCATACTGAAAGTGACACACACAACGCAGGTCAGGACACAGTAAATTCTTTACCTTTGAAGCGTTTGTCGTCACCACCACCGAAATTCCAGCAGCAGCAGCAGCAACAACAACAACAACAACAACAATGGCCTCAGCTGCAGTCATATAGTGTAAAAAATGTGACAAACGTGATGGATGTCAATGCTGTAAAGGTGGTCGCGGAGGTGGACGACATTGCTGCCTTCTTGGACAATATCACCCAGGAGTTGGAGAGCATTGATGCTTTGGGGCAGGAACGTGAAGGAGAAGTGTAGGCGAGGATGCTGACATGGATTGTAGAGAACAAGTTATTATTATTATTATTATTTCTAGTTGTTTCCGTGTTTTATTGTTGTGTGCTTGTTCTCTTGCACAACTTGGATTTTCTGAGGAGATAAGACATGACAGGCAATAAAGAAGAACTCCTCTACTTATTTCTTTTGAAACTGAAGGGGTCATTTATTTATCACTGTATTCAATACGTTCATTTAGTTTAATTTATATTGCCTCAAGCTGGTAGGTCGTGTCAGTAACTTTCCTCCCTGCTTATTTGTGTATACGTGTGTCTCTTATGCATGTGAGTTAAACTTACCACGTGACGCATGCTATCAACTGTGTTATCTGCTGTCCTTTAAACCTCTTGATTACTTTTTAATGTAATTTTACATTCTGTGATTGCCGTTGTTCTTTCCTTCTTTCTTTGAGGAGGAGGTACTCTTTGCTTGTCTCCGTGTTCACGGGTTTGCTTTCAGTTGCCAGACCTACAAGAAGGGGGTATTTCAAGAGGCAATACGAACAGTCTGCGATGTACGCAGTCAGCATATCGCTGGGTTCCAGCAGCGCTGTGGTGGCCGTTGCCGCCGCCACTACTACAGCTGCTTCTGTCGCGGCTGGAGCAGAGACGGCCGCGCCGATTAAAGTTGCCATCAACTCCGCTGGTCACCGCTCAACACCAGTGATGGCCGCCTTTGCAGGCAATGAGGAGGTTCTCTTTGGTGATGATGCTCGTGCCTTGTACCCACGGACACCGGATGTTGTGGTGCCGTATCTGTTTGCGTCTGCTGCCGTTGCTGAGCAGCAGCGGCGCCAGCAACGCTATGACAACGATGATGCTGCTGACAAGGGCAATAGTGGCAGTACCGTGGAGGAGAATTTTGTTCTGGTTCTTCAGCGTGGAATCGAAGAAGCCGCGAAGAAGCACTACAAGGGTTATTGCCCACTTGTAACTGGAGAGGGTGATAAGGCGGGGCGCCTGGGTTTTTTCCCCCCAAACCAGAGTGATGAAGGGGAGGAAAATAATGATTTTGTTAACGCAGAAGACATGCTGGTGGAGTTCTTTAACCACATAAAAAAACATACAGTGGATGCGGCCTGTGAACTGGCAGCTACTGATGAAAAATCATCTCCACAGGGGAAGTTGCCGCAACAGGCGGGGATATCGAAGATTATTCTCACGATTGTGGTACCGCGGTATTTGTTTATGGGGGCAGTAGCGTCCTCCAAGATTTTGCAGGGGAATGTAGACGATGCCTCTCAAGATGTGGTTCAGTGGGTGCGGAATGCGGTTTTCACTTCCCATTTGGGCGCCGTTGCAGCGCATGTGTCAGTTCTTTTTTCAGACGAGGCGGCATTGTTGGCGATGGACGCGGTTGCATGCCGCCCACATCCGTCTCATCCCATGGCGGACCGCTACTTCCTTTTATCTGCTTCCGCGTCAATGTCATACGGGGTGGGAACTGGCGGCACAATTACCTCACCGTGGCCATATTCACGTGTACTTATCGTGGATTGGGGTGCGCTGGGTGTGTCACTGACTCGTCTTCGCCTGGAAGGTGGCTGTCTTGTAGATGAAGCAAAACCTCTTTTTCTTCGCGCTTGTCAGACCGGGGTGAATTCGCGAGGGGCGGAGTTTGGCTTCGCTGCTGCTGCATGCAGTGGTGGCGACGCCGTCAATTTGGCCCTCCGCGAGCGTCTTGCCACGGCCTTTGCACAACAGCAGCGCCGTGTCTTGGGTTATCAGTCACTGGACGATTTTCCCCTTCGTGCCCAGCGACGGTTGTTGCTTGTTGCAGAGGACAAAAAAGTGGCCCTGAGCAAGGCGGCCCAAGTGCCGGTGGAGGTTGAGGCATTGGCGGAGGGCATTGACATGCGCGACACCGCGACGTTTTCGCGTATTCGTGTTGACGCTGCGCTGCGTGGGGAATGGAAGTTTGTTGAATCCTTTGAAAGGGTTCTTGCGGAATATCTTCATCTTTTACAACAAGCAGATGATGGCGTTATCGATGCTGTGGTACTCTGTGGCGGTATGCTACAAATGCCTTGTATTGCTCAGTCTTTGCGGCATATTTTTACGCAGCGTGCTCTCTTTCCAGGGGAGGGTCCTCGCTTGTTTGCGCGCAACCTTGTTATTATGGAGGCCGCAACTAGCACAACACTCGTGGAGGATTGTTCAAGCGATAGCAGCAAGTGCTCCTCGCAGTTGCGACCAAACAATACCGTATTTGGGGCGGAGGAGCTCCCATGTGTGGGAGGATGTCTGCACAGCTACCACCTCGCTCTTGCAGCTCTTCAAGAACAAGAACATGGATATAAGGATACTGCAAGAGGTGGCAAAAATAGAAAGAATACAGTGAATCCAGGTCGTAAAAAGCAAGAACTTGCTGAGGGGGCACGGCGTGCGTGGCTTGCTCTTACCCTTGGCGATACGGGCAGGCATGATGATGGAAGTCGTCGTTGTAATGAGGTTGCGGTACTGCAACATCCGATTCTTCTCTACACTCAGTCCAATCTTCAGGCGTTGCATTCGGCTCTGACACAGCAGCAGAAGAAGGGTGCTGCTCTGCAAATTTCAACGGCAGCGTTATCTGTCTTGTTTGCGGCCCACACGCTTCTTCCTGCACGTGTTGTGGTACCGTTGACCGGAGCCAGACGCGATCCGTTTGTCCTTTACTTGTTTATGGGGTGTGAGGATGACATGCAGCAACAACAGCACAAGGAAGGTGGGTTGGATGAAATGACCGCGCTTTCCTGCGTTATCCCCTTGAGGAACAAGGGTGTGTCATTGCCAGCGGTAGAGGAAGAGGAAGCAGGGGGAAAGTGGAGGAACTGTATTGTATTCACATTGTGTGAAGATGAGAACAGCGACGCTGCTTTGACAGGAGGCGCAGCCACAACGGAACCCCTGAAGTTGATGATACAACTGGTGCGCGTTGCCACGCACGCCTCTGAGTCATTTGTGATAGGCCCAGGCGATGTGCAGGCCAGCGTCACGCTGGACCTCCGTGAACGCTGAAAGCTAGACGAAGGGAATCAAGATACGGCAATGTATACCTGGTTCTTTAAGGATCTGGGCATGCAATATATATTTATATAGTAATACTAATTATAGGCTCGTGTGAGTAACTTACCTTAGCTGAATAAAATGATCTTAAATGGCTGAAAGCTTGAGAACTGTGACCCGCTTAACAAAAGAAAAAAAAAGGGGGATCACCGTTCATTACGGGAACATCTTTCCACCTTTTATTGCTTGACTGACCGCAGGGTTAGAGACGAAACATGATCATTTGTGCCCGGCACATTTTTTTATTGTCTTCTTTTTTTTTATTTGTATTTATATGTTTATATATAGAGTGTGTGTGGTGTGGTGGGGGGTGGGGGGGGACAAACACGTCCACAGGAAGTGAAAAAGAATAGCATTGTCTCAATGACAGTTGATAGCACGAGCGGCAGCGGTGACGGCGCTGGAGGAAGTGGCAAGAACACTACCGCCGCAAAAAAGCCCAGTATTGCCAATGCCGTGCCCCCACCAAAGAAAAATCCGCATTTACTTCGTTTGGCGACGTTTTACAATACGCGCATTCCACTAGGTGTCCGCGAATTTGTTTTTTTGGGCCCACTACTGCTCATAACCTTTGGTATTGCTTATTACATTCCAGTGCTAGTTCCCGTCGAGAAATTTACGCAAGGCATCACACCCAATACGATGCCCATGGCAGATTATACACTAGAGCCCATGTATGATAAACATGGAGGGTTGAAGGGATACCGTCGCATCCTTCGACATCACAGTGAAAAGGGGGGAACTGCGTAGACTACCGACGATGAGTGTGTCATTGAGTGCTGTTGTCGGTGGGTATTGGAAGCGAGATGGGTCATGCGTGACAACTCGGGATTTTGTTCATTTCTGTTGTTGTTGTTGCTGCTGCTGCTGCTACGTACTCTGATTTCTCACGCTTTTTTTTTTTGACGTGTTCTTTATGTGCCTTCTCGCTGCGCTGCCGCAACGCGCAGCGCTCGTCCTCGTCTGCAATTCACTTCTTCTTTTTCTCCTTCGCTGCGTGCCTGATACGCTCCACACATAAAATTTATCACCAACACGCTGAATAAACATAAATTCATAAATTACTTCTGATAAGGAAAGAGCGCACAAGACAGTACTCATGCGACTGACGGTGGACATAATCCGCCGCGCTCCACAGTTTACCAACACCCTTTTGCAGCGCGAGATTGACCTCCGCGGTCTCGGTTTAACTGTGCTTGATGAGCGGCCTTTGCAACTGCTGAACGACAGCTTTGACGTGCTGAACCTCTCGCAGAACCCCCTTGTGCGCCTAGAGTATTTTCCTAGCGGTATTGGCGCGGGCACGGCGTCAATGGCGGGGGAAACGGTGTCTGTAGATCCGGGGAGGCGAATGATGCTTCGTTTGCAGTCTCTTATCGTACATCGTAATCACCTTTCGCACGTGAGCGAGGCGACGTGCGCCGCACTGCTTCCTAACATGCGGGCTTTTTTAGCGGATTACAACGACTTTCGCGAGCTGCGTGATTTGTTGTTCTTGTCACACTGGCGGCAGCTTGAGATCCTCTCCATTGAACACAATCCAGTGACCCAGCGCGAAAGTGAGGTGCGGCTGCGGGCGTTTGTTGTTTTTATTTGCCCCAAACTAAAGCTTGTCAACTACCAGCGTGTCACGCAGGTTGACAGGCGCAACGTGGAGACAATGCGGGAGGAATTTGAGCAAATTATGAAGGAGTGGCGATGCCTTGGAGAACAGAGCCGTGGGGGTCAAAGCAAAAATGGTGAGTGCAATGACAAGACAGCGGGAGTTAATGGAGATGCTGCTGTTAACGGCAGAAGACCGAGGAAACGTGGCCGTGAAGCCCGGGCGGCTGCTGCTGCTGCTGCAAACAACTTCAGTAGCGGCGATGGTTTTGGGGAAGTGGCTTCAGCTGCAGTTGGCTCATCGACGACAGTCCCTGCGGTGACTGCATCGGATGCCACACACGAAGTGGTTGACAGCACTCAAGCCCGTCTAGTGGCACTGGAAGCGAAAATGTCGGCTGCGGAGACAGAGGAGGAGTTACTGGAGATACAGCAGGAGATCATGGAGTTGGAGGCTGCCGCAAGGCAGCAGCAGCAGCAGCAGCAGCAGGAAGGGGCGAAGTCTAAGCGGGCCCGTACTACCTGATTAGCATTGAGCATCACGTTAAACGAAATGTTAATGAAAGAAAAACAAAAACAAGAAATGGGAAAACAAGAGCAGTGCAGGGTGCGGGGCAAAGGTGGTGGGCTCTGGACTACGGTGGACGCTGCATCGTGTGATTGAGGATTTATTGCTCTAATGAGCTGAGTGTGGACCGTGTTGTTGTTAAAATATGCGAGTTTCTCGAGGTATGAGGTGCTTGTGGTTTTCGGTAAAGTGTGAAGGGTGGGGGTGGGGTGGGGGAAAGAGAAAATGTTATATTTTGTTATGCGTTTTTCTGAGACGTTCTATCACGCCCCCGTATTTGTCCCTCCCGTGCCCTCTCGTTTTTGCCGTTCACCATAGGCGTTTGTGTAGAGTCTTGGCTATTGTTGGGTTGTTTTCCTAACACTTTTGCGCGGGTGTCCATTTGTGAGTCAGCTTCGGGAAGGAGCACAGGGAGGCGTTTTGAATTTGACAGCAAAAGAGGCACGGTGGTTCACTCGTATGGGATAATGTGGCCTTTAAAAACCTAACCTAACGAAAAGGTTGACGATATGGTTGCAGACGAAAGTTGTGTGGCCCTCGGTTTTTTTTCTGGGCAGCCTGAAGGCAATTTAACCCAAAAAATGTAGTGGACATACAAACATAAAAAAAAACAACAACCACATTACACGTGCTCTGGTGCTTGCAGTGGTGAGGGTGAGAAGAAGAGACCCGGCTGTCGATCGTACAAGGTGGATGCAATTTTATTTCTACTTTGCCGTTTCTATCTTTCTTTGTTAAGGTGTTTGCAATAACGATTGTTGCCGTACTCTCACAGATCCCTGCGTCCATCATGGTGATAAATGCATGCACTCATTGTAACTGCCCCCTATACTGATTTGGAATATATATATTGTTGCGCTTTATCCCTTTACTCGTTCGTTGCAAGATATACGGCCGGCCAGAAGCAAATGTGGTGCATCTCACGGCGACTGCTGTGCGGTGCTGCCGGTGCGGCGACGACGACGGCGTCGTCGGCCAGCGGCAGTTTTAATTTTTCTTTTAGCAAGCGGCTGAAGGAGTTGGAGAGCGACACGGAGTGTGCGCTGAGTGGAAAGGAGTACGCGATTTTACGGGAAAAGCTGCAGCACTATCGCGGCCTTCAAAATAGGTATGCAGTGAAGCAGGACGATATTGAGCGGGCAAAGCGAGCGGCGCGGTACAGCGGCTTGGAGTTTACACCGAAACCCGCACGAAAGACTACTGTGCAGGGAATCTGTCAACAGCCGGAGGAGAATAAAAAATAAGTGTGCGGGACGCGTTATGCACGGCATAGTGTTGTTTGCTCCGTGGCTGTGCTTAGGCGTCTCGCCCCCTGAGTGGGCACATTTGGTTTGTCATTCATCTGTCTGGTTGTTGTTTGTTTGCTCATAAACCACTGCTCGTTGCTCTCTTAAATGTTTCCTCTTTGCTTGCTTTTGATGTAGTTTTTCTTCTCTCTTTCCCTTTTGTTTTTATTGGAGGTTTGCGGCTTCTGCTAACGCCCCACTCCGATTGCCGCTTCCTCACGCCCCTTCTGCGTCCTGACAGCACACGGGGGAGGAGCAGCAGAAACCTTGTAAAAGAAAAAAAAGGAGATAAAAAAAAAGAAATGAGTCGCAGAAGTCGTGGAAGCAAGATTGGCGTTAACACGGCAAGCGGCCGACCGTCAAGCGCGTCGGGAGCTGCTCGCGGCAGCCACCGTGAGGAGTTGACAGTGTTTCCGGAGATGCCGTCGTTCTTTCCCGATCCCATCGCTCTCGACGCGGAGGATTGCCACCTGAAGCAGTTCCGTGATGAAATTTTTCAACGGGAGTATGCTACGAGTATGAGAGTCACGCTTCAGGGGCTTCAGGCGCAACTGCAGCAGCGTGAGGAGAAACAAAAACAACTAAGCTGCGAAAGTAACGAGCGGAGTCCCACTTCCTTGCAGCACCGTGGCGGTAATTGGAAGCCTCACGGTGACGATGAGGGGGTGCATTGGAGGCCGGCCATCGGTGAGACGCAGGTGTCGTTGTCACACACGCTGGAGAAGCTCATCTCCGAAGTCCACTTGACGCCGTTATCAAATGAAGCAAAGAGCAGAATAATAAATATGAAGGAGGACAGGAGCCCTAAAAAACTCACTGAAATACCCGCGGAAGAGTCTGAGGGGGCTTCATTCATGCTTTCTATTTTGACAGCACCGGGTCCAGAGGAAAAAGAGAGGCATAAACAACAGGATCCTTCACCTAACTTGCCTGTGTATCTGACAGAGCCGTTTCCAGTCGCGCTATTTGGGCTAGCGGAAGAGGTAGGAATGCGAAATATGACAGCTGAAACGCGTGAGGTTGTGGAGTCTATTGCTGAAGCGAGAAAGCAACTTGGCCTTAATGTTGGATTCTCAATGGAACTACCAGCACGTGAGGAAGGTTTTAAGCAGCAGGCGTCAACTCCTGGAAATGAACCCACGACCTCTGTTTCTCCATTTTCTCGTATCATATCCACTGCAACGATACCGTCTCCGCGTTGCGCCTTTACGTTCCCATTGGCGGATGCATTTGTTCTGGAAGCGGAGCAGCGCCTTGCAGCTGAAATGTTTTGCGAATCTATTTGCGAAGATATTGTGGAGATCGCGGCAGAGATGTACTTGACACGCACCTTTGATGCTATGGCGGCCGCCTACACAGCATGTTCCATCTGGGATGAAGTGCATGACTCGGTTGTCCGCTCGTTTATTCCACATAATCCACTGGAGCTTCCTTTGCATGAAGCGGGACTTGTCACGGCTCCGGCCATCATGCCGAAAAAACCAAAAAGACTAATTAAAGGTGATCCAGCGGGTGCTCTGCCAGTGGATGACAAAGACAATAAAGACAAGGCGGAGGTAACTAGTTTAGCAGGCTACAGCCTACCCTATTGTGGTATGCTTCCGGAATGGGCCTCGTCTCCGTCGCTTCTGGATGCGGACGCTATTCTTTTCTTTCACTGCCGTGGGACGGCAGCTCCATCGCCCTTTTCTGGCGATGAACTCACAAAAACAAATGCGCTGATGGGGCAGGAGCAGGGTTTGGCCTTTTCACGACTTCTCAATGCATCGTTGAAAAGAACTGAGAAACGACCCGGGAAGGCTGGAGTTGTGACATCGCGTTTTCCGACAGGTAAAACATTTGCAGTGGCTGAAAGAGTACGTGGAGTCACTGAGGAAGATGGTGACAGTCCTGGTCTGCCGCCCACGCCTATTGCTTTGGATGACTATGCTCGGTACGTTCTTCCAAAGGTCGCGGAGCTGAGGCAGCAACAGAGCGCCGAGGACAAGGAAAGGGGAGAGGAGCAAGAAGCAACGAAATGGACGGGGTCGCAAAGAAGATCAAGTCAGTATAGGTCCAATACCAGGAGCAAGGAATCTGTAATCGCAATAAGTGTTACACCTCGCAAGGAAGAGGGTGAGGGCGAACTACAGGTTGCAACGCGGGGCATCAAGCCCTTTGCAGACGGTCTCAGTAAAGTAAGGCGTATTCAAAATACATTCAAAAGGGGTCGAAGACCCCGTCCGCAAGATGTATCTCCAAGGGAATTCTCAGCTCGTGCTAAGACCAATTCTTCCATGGGAGCAGTGACAGTGGGACAGGTGGTGGAGGATGATTTGACAAAGGCACTGCAGCAGCTACCACACGGTTATTTTGTTGCTTCTACGATGGGGAGCTACGGTGCGTCAAGTGTGCGAGTCCCCGTACCAGATTCTCTTGTGTTTATAGAAGGTGATCGTGCGACAACTTTCTCTACAGCTGTGAAGAAGAAACAACAGGAAACTGGCATTAGCGATAAGAATACCTCAATGACGAAGGCGTCGATGCACGTTTGCAGAGGCAGTGAAGTTACCTTAAATGGGAATCTATGGGATGATGATACCACGGCGAAGTTGTCTGTAAATATTATGAAAGGTGGTCGTACAACGTTGGGTTTTCATGCGAAGGCATTCACAGCAGCAGCAACAGAGGCCAACACGAATGCGGAATTGCCGCAAGAATCACAAATAGCGGATCATCAAACTTCAAGAGCTCGCGGCCGGTATGCGATTGTTACACGTAAGCAACAAAAAAAATTGGAGGACAGGCGGCGGCGTCAAAAGGAGGCAGCCGAACAAGCTGCATACGAAAACTTGTTTGTGAGACCACCTCCGCCCTCTCCTAATACGAATAGAGACGGCACGGTGAACAAAGACTCGGATGCTAGGAAAGGTCATAGCCCTGAGTCGAAGCACTCGGTCAGGATTGTCGCTGAGCCTGGCGTTGTCGTGGAGCGGTTGCCGAGACCAGAGGAGAAGGACGCGAAGGCGAAGGCGGCAAAAAGAGGCAAGTCACGTGGACGACAAAACAAGCTACCACCGAGTAGTAATTCAGCGGCAGACGCAGAAATTGTGTTGTCTGATGGAGGTGAGTGGATTCCACCGGAAGGGAAGTACCGCTGGTCCGGGTTTGACAAGCTGGCTGAGGAAAGCAATGCGGCGGCAGGAGCGGCACCGGCGCCGTCGGAAACGGGAGTTGCTCCCAAGCCTGCGTCTTTTCAAACTGCAAGTACACGGCAGCGTCAAGACGAGGAAAAAGGACATAGCCAAGGAGAAAAGGAGGGGAGGCAGGAGGCAAAAAATAAAGTATCCATCATTGCAGCAAAACCACCTGCACAAACGGCAGTGAAGTTAATGACGCGTCCTGTTCAACGAATGCCAGCGCTCATTTCCTCCTCGCAGAGGGGCAAACAAGCGGGGCAAAAGAAAACAGAGACGGAAACGGTGGAAACGGGGGTGGAAAAAGCCTCAAATGTGAAGTATGCGGCACCTGTGGAACCGCGTGGAGCACAAAATATGCTGCGCCGCCACAACCTGCCGCGGCTTCCACAGCAGCCACTGAGGAGTGACATGATGACGCATGATACCGTTAGTTGCTTGAAAACACCGTTAGCGTCAGAGATGAACAACATACGCCGTCTGGCCTCTATCCTCAAGAATGACTCAGTCAACGCAGAAGCGTAGGAAGGATTGTACGCATATTATATGCTTGCACTTGTGAGTGTTGCTTCACTTACTATTGACGAGTAACACTTTTTCCCTGTGAAAGCAAAGAGTTGAAGCTCATGTAAGAAAGCTGTTTATATGTTTGTTTTTGTTTTTGTTTTTGTACTGCTGTGTTCCTTTTTTTTTCTTTGTATTATTATTTTACCGACCTTCGCTTGCTTTTCTTTGTCATTTTTGTTTTTAGTTCTTCTCTGGTTTCCCCTTTTGATCTGCGTGTTTATTGTGGCATGAATGTATAATGGACATAATTTACCTCTGCACACACACACACACACACCTTTTTTCCGATGGTGTGCAATAATGTTGCAAAGAAATCGTTGTTGTTGTTTTGTTCTTTTTGGTGCATGCGAGAATGTTGTTATCCATGTGGTGGTGATGGGACAGCAGGAGACTTGGAGGCGCCTATTCGCGTTGGATAGGTAGCATATAGATGAGACTGAAATATGTGCCCGAAGCATTGCATGGGAAGAGTGAGAGTGTGTACACTTGTTCCTTTTGAAGGAATAAGAGAAATTGGGTCCTCTGGCCTCCCCACAGTCTGCCTCTCTGTAGAAGTCTCGTACTCGCGTTTGCGTCACTTGCCCATGGTGGGAAGTTATATCATCAAGCCGACGCTGTGCATTTATTTTGTTGCTGTTATGCTCTCTTTATTTGGCTTAATCTGAGTGGTGTGTAGTTTGTTTGTGGATTAGCAGAGTAATAAGGTGTGTGTACCACAGATGGTTCGTCGCAGCGACAGGGTTGTAGGCGAGGCAACACGGAAAGCGTCGGTGGGTAGTTCACGGCGTGTCCGCCAGCAACGCGGTAAGAGAAACGGCGCTGACGATGATCTGCTTGAGGTACAGGAGAGGGGAGCGCTTAATCTGAACAACCCGCTGATTCCCCCAGAGCTCGACGAGGACATTGACGACGACATCGCCTTCAACAGCGACGACGAGGAGAAGTACGGTCACTTATTCCACAAAAAAGAGAAGTCTGACACCACCCGCACCTCCACAGCGGCCACAGGAGGTAAGAAGAAAAACACGAGAAATAAAAGGTTGCGGAGTCACGCAGCCGATGCAGACGATATGAGCGATGCGGACGATGCTCTGCTGCTGCAGCAGCTCCGCGCCCTTGGCGAGATTGACGAGGATGAGGACTTGGATTTTCATGAAGGCGGCGGTAACGGGGCAGACGAGGATGATTACATTGACCTTGCGGACATGCTGGATGCGGCACAAGCAGAGGAGGGGAAAACGGAAGGCAAAGCCCGAAGGAAGAAGGCGACGAAAAAAGTGGATGAGAGTGGTGTTGCGAAGAAGCGACGACGTGCGATTGTTACCGAGGAGGTGGAGTCTCTTTATGGTCCGACAGCCGTGGACGGCAAGTACAGCAGTGCAATTCGAGAGGTTGTGACGGCAACCCCGGCGTCCTCTACACGGTCGCGAATGCAGCAAAGTCTTGAGAACAAGCGCAATCTTATCAGCGTGGATGTCGATGACCATACAATGGCGAAGCTGACACGCGCCGAGGTGCGAAAAGTGGTGTCTAATGATCTTTCCAAATATAACAGCTTCTTACGAGAGCAGCGTGAGGCAAAGCATGTGCAATTACCTATGCCAATGCCAGAGAGCAATCCAGTACCGACAACACTTGGCGCCATCTCTGCTGCTGCAGTGGATCGTTTCACAACTCAGACAGAGGCAGCGAAAACGGCGGCTGCCTTGACAACCGCAACCACCACAGGAGATACCGCAGGGATGGCTTGTAACGCCTCACGTGTGTCCGCATTTCGTCTTGCTGGGAAAATAAGTACGCTATTGTCAAGTGCGGGGCTATCGAGACCAGAGCTTTCTGCACCTTCTGCAGAAGACGGTGTCATTCCCCTTGGTGACATTGACGATGACGATGCCGGTGATACGCATAAAGCGGGAGCGGTTCAACCCGGTGGGGATACGAACGCCCCAACAACGAGTTACATAGCAAAGCTGAAAGCAATGCTTTCGTACGAAAACGCTCGCCGCCGTCGTTTGAATCGCATTAAAAGCAAAACATATCGTCGAATTCTCCGCAAGGAGAAGGACCGTGAACGGGAGCGACGGGAAAAGGCGTTTGAGATTCTTCATCCTGAAAAGGCGCGCGCACGGCTCGCGGAAAAGCTGATGAAGGCAAGAGTGGAGGAGCGCGTGACGCAGAAGCACAAAAACACAAGTAAGTGGGTACGCCACGCAAAACGGTTTGCTAACTTTGACGACAATACAAAAGATGCCCTTAACGAGCAGAATTTGTTGCATCAACGACTCATGCAGAAAATGGAAGAGGATGCGGATGAGGACGCCTACATGAATGCGGGTGGTGATGCCCACGCTGAGAGTGAGGCGGCCTCTAGCGAGGAGGAGCGTGTCGTGGACTATCTTATTGCTGGGGCAACCGCGATGCCGAAACAAGCTGGGAATGAGGCGGATGAAAGTAAAAAGAAGAAACTGAGTTCTCTCCTCTGGCGGAGCATTGAGGACGTTGAGAAGGAAGAGGAGGAGGGGGATGGCGAGGCGGCAGGGTCCCACATGACACCCACAGAAAAAGCCCGTGTAGAACTTCGGGGGATGAAGTTTATGCAGCAGGCGAAGCAACGAGAGGAGAAGCACTACGCGGAGGTGTTGGAGCATTTGCAGGAGGACATCCGTTGCAAAATGTCTGGCGAGACTGTATGCAGCGATGACGAACCCTCTGACTTGGACGAGACACGTGAGAAGGAGGAGCATCCAAAAAAATTAAAATCAAAGAGCAAACTCTCGACAACCACGGACGCAAGTGTGGGGCGGAAGGCGTTTTTGCACAAGCGCGATGGACAACGTGGCAGGGAAGTTGTAGAGAGTATTCAGCTGAAGCGACACCGTGGCATTAATATCCAAGGAGAGGATGATGAGTCGGAGAGGAGCCACAGGGGCACGAGCGCCAAGGAGGGTGCGGATGACACCTGGTCTATTAGCGAAGAAGGTAGCAGTAGTGAGGCTGGGGGGAATGATGTGAAAAAAGGAGGAGAAAAGGCACCTCTAGTTTCTACGACCAACCCCATTGGGGGCGGAGAAACCACCAATGAAGAGTTTGCTGGTAGCCGTCAGCCGAATACACATTTTGCTAGTGAGCTTGGCAGTGATGCAGCTGCCTCGCAGAGGCGGAAGCATGCAAGCAGTACACGTATCACTCTTCTGCCTGCGGATGTCCAACAACCGCGTAGCGGCAATGGCCTAACTGAGGCTGGAGAGGAGGGAGTGGTCAAGACAGTCCGACAGAAACGGAAAAGGGGAGGTGAGTTAGGAGAAACGAAAAAGGGGGCAGATGATGAGGATGAAATCATGCTTCAACAGCATCAAGACTACCTAATCGCCCGTGCCTTCGCCCACGATGAAGTGGACGCGGAATTTCTTGCAGAAAAAACGGCGCAGGTTGAAACTATCATGAAACCGGTGGACAAAAATGCAACACTGCCTGGTTGGGGTGAGTGGGGCGGTGAAGATGAGCGTCTCAATCAACGTCACCAGGCAAAGTTGCAATCGATGGAGTTGCAGCGACAAATTGAGAAGACAACGTTAATGAAGAGCCGCGCGGACGCTGATCTTGACCATGTCATCATCAACCACGATGGGGTGGAACTCGTGCCAGACCGTATGCTGCTGCACATGATTCCTCGCCCATTCAGTAACCCGACGGAGTTTGCACGGTCTATGCGGCATCCGCTTGGCCCGGAGTGGAACTCCGCTGTTGCTTTTAAGGATGCCAATCAACCGCGCCTGGAGGTGCGGCAGGGGCATGCAGTGCTGCCACTTGATCTCTCCCTACGTGGCAAAAAGAAAATGGCAAAGACCAAGAGGCGCAAAATTTCAACCACCGCAGCTGTGTAGCCTCTTTCTTTCTTTCTCTCCATGCCGTGATACACGCAACAGTGTGCGAGTGTGTCTGTGAATGTGTGGTGATCGGCCTTCGGAGGAGTAGGCATTGATCGATTGTAAGTAAGAAACTGAAATTGATAAAAAGGAGAATTTGGAGGAGAGGGTGAGAGAGAATTAGGGAAGAGCGAGAAAGATTTTTTAGGGATTGACTCTGTTTCTTTCCCTTGTATACTCTTCTTCTTGTAAGACACGTGTAAGCGTAATTATCTGCATCATTTGCAGTGCAGCATTTTTTGACTGATCAATTTTTTTCTTTTTTCTTTTAAATTTTGGGGGGTGTTGGTGGGGAAGTTTTTCGCTTTCCCTTCTTCACGTATTCTCCAGTTGGCGCACAGTGGTGGTTTTGGTCCTCTCTCCCCTATGATTTTTTTTTTATCCTCTCTTCTCTTCAGTGTGCACTCCACACTCATATCTGCCACTGTTTTATAGCGAGAGAGGCGTCGTAAGACGGCATAATTTAATGACCACCACGGAGAGCCGTATTGCAGGACTTTTGTCTGTTCTCTCCGAGAGCGAGGATGCTGTTCACTGCCCACTCTCTGTCTTTGCACGTAGCCTGCGGGAGGCATCGTGGCCGCAGCAGCTACAACAACATGCTTCAATGAATGGTCCGGTAGGCGGTGGTAGGTTAATGGATTTAAGCGACGTGTTGGCAGAGCGTTCACTGGCACTACTGCGGGAGGAAGAGGCGATCCTGCGTGACAAGGAAGTGGTGCGGGTGGCGTACGACAAGCTGCGTGCTGAGTTGGCCCGTGCTGAGGCGCAGCTTCAGAGCTACGAGCAGCGCGCGCAGGAGGTGGCACAACAGAAGTCTTTTTGCAAATTGGCGATGAACCTGTTGGTGACGGGTGATGTGCCAGAGTTTTACGCGCCGGATGCGGGGCATGTTGTGGGCGCACCCCGGGAAGACATTGACACCACAAACAACAACGTCGCCAATACATCTGTGGACGGCGCGGTGGCGGCGCCGGAGGTGGCACCGATGAGCTCAACGTCGCCGAAGCGCCCACGTCCAAGCTCCACAACGCAGAAACGGCACCTTGAAGTAGAGCCACAACAACAACACAGTGCCGGTGAAAACGGCATGTATAGGAGGGGTTGTGAGCAGTCGGTATCAAAGGAGAAGGACGAGAACCCGGATCTTTTTGTTGAAAGTGGGAAAGGTCAGCAATTGTCCACGCTGGGAAGGGCTACTTCACGTACGCATGGGGGCAGTGGTTCAAGCCCAACAGGTAGTGCACTTCTTGCGATGTTGCGTTTGCCCGATGTGAAGGAAATGACACTTTTGCACGCGATTGAGAGTTACGATGAATATCATTTTGGGAAGTCCATGGTGTGGACTAATAAAAAGCGGGATGAATTGCTACCAGTCCTTCTTGGTCTATTGAGGCACCTGCCGTTACAGCGTCCACCCACTCAGTTAGCAGAGCTACACCTTCTTGGACATTTTTTCCGTTTCCCGTATGCCGCGCTGGCTGCATCAGAACCCGCTCTTTTCTCCTCGCTGACGTCAGTATCCTTGCCGGAGCCTATGGTGAATTTTATTCTGCGCGCTTTGCTAAGCGAAGGTCAGGCTGTAACGATACTCACGCGGCTACTTCAAAGCGTTAACAATGATGTTAAGTGCGAAGTATTAGAGTGTCTTTTGCCAATTATTATGATTAGTTGTAACGATGTGAATAATACTGCTAGCGGTAGTGGGCATGCTTCTGAAAATAAAGGGGCGTTACCAGACGCACGAAAAGAATTTATTACATGCGGTGGTTTGCAGCCGCTTTTAAGTATTGTAGCCTCCTGCACCTCAGAGGCAGTGTTAGAGCGGGCACTTGTGCTTCTGTGGAATCTTATTGCCCGCAACGTAGACGAGGAAAAGGTGCGTGATGAGGTACGACGCCTTGGTGGGTTACGTGCTGTGCTGGATCTCCTGTACACAGATTCTATTCCTATTCTAGAGAATGCGGCGATGACGATTGGTTACATAACACGTGACGAGGCATCCAAGGTGGAAATTCGTGAATCAGGTGGATTGGAGAAAATTACTGCAACGTTGCGTCATCCCTATGAATCTATTCAAACAAAAATGGCAGGAGCTATTTGGAATTGTGCTAGCAATGCTGAAAATCGAACGTATCTACGGCACATTGGATGCATTCCAGCTCTCTTGGAGCTAGTCAGTTCACCATACGAGTTTGTGCAAGAAAATGCGGCAGGGGCTCTTTGGAATCTTAGTGTGGATCCTGAGAATAAGGCACAAATCGTTGAGTATGGTGGTATTGTAGAACTTGCTCAGCTTATTGCCAAGAGCTCTAGTGTGACTGTTGTGGAAAATGCCTCTGGTACATTGTGGAACTGTAGCGCCGCTGTTGAATCACGGCCCGCTATCCGTAAGGCTGCGGCCATACCAGTGTTGCTCTCCGTAATGAATCGGAAGTTGCCTCCCTCAACGCAGCCAAAAGGAGTTGCGATGGGGAAGAAAGTATCGGTGCCTCTCCCTATAAGTGACAAAATTCTGGATAATGTGGCCGGTACCCTTCGCAACTGTGCTATTAATGATCAAAACAAGCCGGCAATTCGTGAGGCGGGTGGTGTGGAGTTGCTGCTTAGCAAGCTTGAACTGGGTATATTGAAAAACCCAGCATCTATTCCAATGCCGACATTGGACAAGATGGCGTCTACGCTATGGATTTTAACCATTTCTCCAGAGATAAAGCATAGTGTTCGCCTCAGTGGTGGCATTCCGATGCTAGCAAAAATACTTGAAATGACTTCTGTCACCGCCGCAAAGAAAAACCATACTAAAGTTGTTGTGCAATTAACCTTGGGTGTAAAAGAAAAGATTGTGGGTTTATTGCGTAATTGCTCTACTGTACAGGAAAACCGACAAGTGATGGTGAGTGCAGGGGTTGTACGAGCTTTGGTCTACGCTGTAGAGGATTGCTACCTTGCCGGAAATGCCAATCCTAATGCAAGCAGCGTATCCTCCTCCCAACAGCTTTTACCATCGCTACAGATGAAGGAAACCGTGGCGTCTGCGCTTTGGTACCTTTCACGTGATGACAAGGTTGCACCCCGCGAGGAAGGTGGCCTTGAACTTCTTTGTCGTCTTCTGCTTGAGCCAGACCAGCCGTCTGCGGTACTCGAGCAGGCTGCTGGAGCAATATCCTCCTTGACAGTGAACAATCAGGAAAATCGGACCAAGCTGCGGGAGTTTGGAGGGTTGGATGCACTTTTACGTCTGATAGAAGAGAGGACACCCCTGGCGTTTTCACAGCAAGGAAGAAGCGGTGGTGATACTAAGGACAGTTCGGCAGCAATATCAACCACCGCAAAGGGCACCAACAGTGGCACTGGCAAGACGGAGAATACGGTATCAAACACGTATGCTGTTTTAAATGCACTTCTGGCAATTCGAAATAGCACATCTTCAAATGAAGAGAACCTTCGTTATGTGGCGGAGTGGCGATACAACCGCGAGGGTGAAGCGGCCTTTTCACCGGCAACTTCGTTTACGGGATGGCTTTTGTACATTATCCAACATGGGTCTGAGGACTGCGCAAGGGAGGCAGCGCTTTGTGTGAAAAACCTCTGTGGTCACGCCAAATCATTAGAGTCATTGCTGCAGCAAGATGCAGTGGAGTTAATTGGTGGTCTTGCAGAGCGTGGCTTTTCAGACTCTGTGCGTCGCGCGGCCGCAATGACGTTGCACTCCCTCGCGCGAGCCCAGCGGCGATAAGAGCTAAAAGGTTTATATGAAGGAAAAAGAAAAAAAGGGGGAAAATAAAATCTTTTGGGAAGATTGAATGCTAGAGTGAGGAGTGCCACATTAAGAGGAAGAAACAAGCGAGTGGGAAAGGTAACACGCACAGACTGGAAGGTAAAAGAGAAAGAAAAACAACGTTGTAAACATTGCAATAGACATGAACTGTTGTGTACGAATTAAGTAGGGAAAAACAGAGGTCAATGCGGTACTACTGCGTCCTCTGGCTGCGTGATGAATGATACTTTTTCTCATGGTGCTCAAATGTGGGAGAAGTTGTGGCTTTGATTTTCCTGACGGGTTCCTTCGCCGTAAATTTGCTTATGCGATTATTTTCGCTTCTATGCCTGACGTGAGGAAGGTGTTTGCTCGCGGTATTGGCCGAGGTGCCCAGCAGGAAGCGGAATGTATGACAACCCAATAAAAAATAAAGCGGGAAGACAGCTACACAGAAGAAATAAAAAAGTAAAATACACGGGAGAGGAAGCGCAAAGTTAATTACTATATATATGTATGTATATATATTGCGTAAAGAACTTAGAGGGACTGGCTATTGCGTAGAGGAGGGAGAAGAAAGGCGGTGCTTTTTTTCCAATTACGTCTTGTTTCTGGGGTATGTGAATATGTATATTTTCGCCGCCACGCCACAATGGCAATGAACACCTCTTTGGAAACAGCAACGAGAAACCAGAAGGAGATAGAGAGAGTGGTGGTTGTGGTGGTGGAGAAATTTCAAATGAAACCACACAGACTGACTAGAATTGGAGCGTACATGTTCAAACACATAATCACAATAATATAGAGACCAATGGCTGGGCTCCGTGTTTATTTATTCAGTCAGTTTTGCTCGGGGGGTTGTGGCCACCCCTGCTGTGGGCACAGTCGTGTTTTACACACCAGGCGGGTATGCCTGTGTGTGTCTCAGAATACGAGGATGTTAGCTCCCGCTTCTTCCTGCTAATTGGAATTTGCGGCGAAGCTGTGCTGTTTTGGATTGTTTTCCCCACACACAGAGGAAAAACGAAAAAAAAAAAAGAGTAGGACCACCTGGTGGGTGCTTTTTTTCTGCCCCCTCCGAAAAAAAAAAAGAAATGATGTATTTTATTTTATTCTTTTCTTTTTGTTGTCTTTGGGTTTTAATGGGTTTGGTGTTTGATGGACTTTTATTATTATTATTTGGTTTTGGCTGTGTTTTCTCTTTTTTTTTTGCGGGTGAGATCTGTGGGTCTAAGTGGGTGGCGATGCCGTTAAATAATTCCAACGCTGCTACCATTAGCAACGGGAGCGACATCGAATATGTCGAGAGGGAAATTGCACCGATGTACGTCAGCCTCTCCCGCACCGCCCCGCTGCCACCTGGGGACTACGTGCGCGTCATTGCACTGTGTGGCTCAGGCTACTTTTCTAGGGATGAGTCACCCTTGCTGAAGACTATTTCCGCCGAGGGTAGTTGGAACAGTGGTGGCCGTAGGCAAAATTCAACGGAACCGCTTGAAACCGAACCAGAGCGGTTTGACTTTGCGCTGCATGTGCGCGGGGCGCGGCATTGTCGCCTGCTGGACACCATTTTGGATGGATATGATCTTCAGATGAGCGCCGTTGGCCACGATGCGGCCACCGACGTCAAAGAGAATAAGGTGAATGGAAGGGAAAAGGCTGCTCTAGCTGATTTGCCATCTGTGGTGCTTCCACAGGCAACATCCAAGGGGTGCAAAATGCTTTTTCGGTATTTGGATATGATTACGACGCGTGTGCCGACGACAATCTCTAAGCCGCTGCGTGCACCACTAGATGAGTTAATTCAACCGTGGGAAATGAACTTTTTATTGCATGACTGCATGGACGACACGACCAGCCGCGCCATTGCGCAGCAATTTGGTGACGCTAAAGGAGTTGGAGCCAAAGGCAACAAAGCTGCCGGGGACACTGTAATGGCCTACCACTCCGCAATTGTAAATAACGCACCTGGTTCTTTAAATTTGCTGCTGGAGCTTGCAATGATTAGTGACTTTCTCATTGTTGAACCCCTGCGTCAATTAACGTGTGCTTTTCTTGCCTCTCTTGCACTTGGCGCCTCATCGGAAGCGGAATTGTTGCGGCTTTGTGGAGTGTCTCGCCCCATGAAGGAAGAAGAGCTCGAGCCGTTATATGCGCAGTTTCCTTTTCTTCATATTGACCCCACCGACGGGTTGTAGACACGTCATGATCAGTCATCAGGTCCTCAGGTGAGAGTGTGAGTGTGTGTGTGTGTGTGTGTGTGTGTCTCGTTTTCTTCCAATATCGTCCTCCCCCCCCCCCCCCCCCTGAAGTATACCGGGGGGATTGAGGGCGGATGGAGACAACGCGACCCTTGTACACTTTCACATCCACGGTGCTGTCTCGCCTTCGTAATGACTTGAGTGAGGCAGACGGTGGACAACGAAAACAGAACGGAAAATAATGAAAACAAAAAACAAAAGAAAGGAAGAAAAAAAAACGGGCAAACGCAAAAGTGGCAAACTGCTCTAGGGAAAAAAATCTAGGGAAGGAGATACGTTGGCTAGGACAAGGAAGCCGGTAGAGCAAGAACGGGGGCGTCCAGCTGCGTCTCTCGGTGTATGAAGTTGCTTTTTTGTTTTCTTCTTTTTTTCTCTTTTTTTTCTTGGTTTCCTTCTCCTGTTGGTACCACGTGCACTATTTCTTGCTTTTGCTCCCCACCTCATCGCGCGCTGAATCTATGTCTGTGTGTTTATCTTCTTAGAGATTTCCGCTGTTTTCGCGTTTTTTTTTTTTTTGCTCCATCCGTGTTTTAGTTATTGTTTCATTTTTGGTTCTCTTCCAACTGTGTCGCCTCGTATCGAGGCAGATTTTTTTTTAATTATCTTTCTGCTACACAGTCAGCATCCTTTTTTCCTCACCTGGATCGCACCCACACGCACTCTCTCTCTCTCTCTATTTCACACACACACACACACACGAAGAAAAAGAGGAAAAAAGAAGGTAAAGTAGACGTCTTACACAAAAGTCAAAATAATAGGAATAATAATTGATATTTGACTACAAAGGCAAATTTAAGGGAAAGGGGGTAAAAGTTAAAAGAAAAGGGCGTGACTGCGTGCACGCACCTTTGTTTGTTGTTTTATTATTATTATTATTTTTTTGTTGCCGCGGCGGAGCGGACGGGGTCGAGTTGCGTGCCTCCACGTCTGTTCCTCGGCAAGGAAGACGTCAGGTGCGAGTTAAGGCTTAAAGGGAGAGGAACAGGGGAGGGCATTACACTTCAGTTTCTCTGAGGCATGAGCGAGGAAGATAGTGAACCCTCTTTGGATACCTCGTTGAACCGGCGTTGCAACTTTGTATTACCTAGTAACGAATGCGACGAGGATGAGGATGCGGAAGCGCTCAACAGCAGCACCTCCACGGCAGGGCCACCCGGGTCCCGTCGCACGGGTCGCTGTCAATGCCCCTCATGGGGGGCCGCATCCAGTAGCGCATCCAGCATCTCACCCAACAGTTCAGCACAACAAGGATACGATCGGACTGGCACATTCAAACACACCGGCAACTACCGTCCCATGATATCCAAAAATAGTTGCTCACGCAGACGACGCAGCTTGAGTAATACCAGTACAGTAGCCAGCCTTGTTGGTAGTTACCATGAATGGGGCCGATCATTCTGTGTTTACAATCCATGGCGGGCATCTTCAGCTTCGCGAGCATCATTTCAATATGGTCAGCAACTTGTGTTTAGTGGGAAACATCCTATTTCAGGTACTGGAGTGTCTTCGCCGTCGAACGTATCCCCAACCGTAGTAGCAGTAGGAACACCAAAGTGTGAAAATCACCGCCGTCCTGTCTCTTTTGGTCTATCCCTGACCCATGCTGCTGGAGTTAATGGAGAAACAAATGCTGGCCGAAGCACGAGCGCACTCTTTGTTGCAGGACAAGTGTTATCTTCACCTGCCTCAGCTAGTCCAATTTTGGGAGGGCGTCGAAGTGGGTGCCAGTCTCGGATTTTGGGGGTATCATCAAGTCCAAAAATGGTGGCTTATTACGCGATGGGTGGTGCGACACGGCAGCTCAGTAAAGGAGTTGCACCTATTGTTTCTTCCGTAAAGAGGGAATTGGCAATGCTCCTGCGCTCATTTGCTGCGTTCCTGAGTCTCGTTGGAACACCTATCATTAATGGTGCTGTTGAGCACCCAATGGATATACGTAAAGGACCACTGATTGGGGTGGGAGGCTTTGCCAAGGTATATGCAGGCATAGATCGCGTGAGTGGGAGGCTTGTTGCGATGAAGGAGATTAATATTGCAGAAATTACGGATCATGAGGCACTAAATGCGATTTGTAAAGAATTTGGTATACTCAAATCCCTTCGACATCCCAATATAGTGTCATATCAACTTTTTGAACACAGCGCGTCGCAGAAGGTGTGCCGTATTGTTATGGAGTTGCTTACTGGTGGGTCGACGTTGGCGTTGCTGGAAAGGTACGGACCACTACGAGAAGCTTTTCTTCACAAGTTTGCTCGTCACCTTTTAGAGGCCATTGCGTTTATACACAAAGAGGGCATCTCGCATCGAGATATTAAGCCGGCGAATATTCTGGTAAGCGGCTCTGGAGTTGTGAAGCTATGCGATTTTGGTTGCAGTAGGCGGGTGAATGAACTAAATAAATCGACAAACTGCGTTATTGGCACACCGCTGTACATGGCCCCGGAATTTATCAAGGGTGAATCCACCCATAAGTCTGATATTTGGTCCATGGCATGCTCACTATTTGAATTAGGGACTGGTCTTTTGCCGTGGCATCATGCGAAAATTCGTGACAACCTGCCACTGATGTTTTATATCACCACTTCCAGTGAAACACCGCTTACTAATCTTGCGCAGTACGATGTGCAGGAGTTTAGTGCTGAATTTAAGGACTTCATGAAGCAGTGCTTCACACGCGATGTGCAACGCAGACCCGAGGCAGTGGAATTGCTCGAGCATCCGTGGATAAAAGGGGATCGTTCAACTTTACCGCATCACTCCCTTTCTGCCTCGTCCTTTGGTGACCCCAGCACACCGACGCGGTCTTCGCGAACAAGCCGAGCTGAGGAGGAGTTGTTGTGTCAGCGTGAGCTTGAAGAAGTTTCAGCTAATATTTCAATTGATATGTGCACTGCGTGTATGTTGCGAACGGGTGGAGTAGTGCCTGGGTTTCGTTTGCCTTCTCACCTACAGCAGCCGCAATTACAGACAGAGATGCGGTCAAGAAGCGATGATGTATCACAGCAGCCAAATCCATTAGAACAACTTCATTTGGATTCTCAGAGAAGACCATCAACTAGTCAAGGTCATAGTCCACCGGTAAGCTTGTCTGGTGGTGTTGGTGGTGGTGGTGGTGGTGGTGGTGGTAGGGTCTGGGCTTCATTGAGTTCTACTGGCGCATTAGACGCAACGCTAAATGAGCAATTCAACTACTCCATTCCATTAGGGGCGTCAGAGGGACGTTTTGTCCTACCATCTTGCGGTGCCTCCATGTCTTCGGTAGCCGCACAGTATCTTTGTATTAATGATGACGGCAACGTCGAATATGTCACCATAGATGAGGAAATGGTAGAGGTAGACACCGATGTGGATGATGCTTTAGCATATTCATACGGACAGTTCTTAATGGGATCTCCTAGTCTTACTTTTGGCTTGGGAGGCGGCTCTCCCACGGGTACTTCTGCGGCGGTTTACACTGTCGAAGGGCATTCCCCTCATTGCAGCACTAGCAATCTCAACACCCACAATAGCTATGTCGCTTTTTCACCTGCACGGAGCTCTGCTGGTCGCAATGCCCGTTATGGGCCGGCGCTGCACAACCCGAGTATGTCGTTGGTCTCCAATTCGTCCTTTACCTCTCGTGGAGTTTCACCATCACGTCGTTCGCAAACCGCGTCGACAGCATCACTGGCGGCCTCTCAGCAGCTTCCGGGTCTCCTTCCCACGACGGCTGGTTCACTGTTGCTTCATGCTGGGGCTTCTATGAACCACAGCAGTGATGATGTCTATGCAGAGGTTCAGGATGGTGCACCAGCTAGCTCAAATGTGTCTCGGTTCCCAGAAGGTGTTCGTGAAGCAGGAGGTCGCCTACATATGTCACTTTCTGTTCCAAATGGAATTGCGGATCGACGTACCAACATTGAGCTTAGCATCGACCCTGAGGATTTGCATCGCGTATGCATTGAGCGTCGGCCAAGTTACGTAGTGGCGCTCAGTGAGGACCTGAAGTCCCAGCTTGTAGCCCAGATGAGCGAAATAGCATCACGCAGTGCAGCTAGCCCAATGGACGGCCAAGGCGCTGGGGGCGGTAGTAGTTCAAATCGTCGTCTTTCTCGTAGTACACATGCGCACGGTAGCCAATCTCTTACCCCTAGGTAGGCCCACTTGGTCCCCTATGTCTTCTGTAATGTTTTTTTTTCTTTTTTGTTCTTGGCATACTGCTGATTGTGGCAGCGGATCTTACGTGTGTGTGTGTTTTTCCCCTTTGTTACGGGAGGAGAGTGGTAGTTGCCAGAGAAGCTAAAAGGAGGATATGCAGACAGCTGCCTCTGATATAGAAAAATGCATGTATTGGGGTGCAAATATCTGACTTGGTGTTACGCCTACATGGGAATGTGGCGATTTACTTTACTGCTTCCCATATATATGGGAAGGTTTAGGAGGGTGCCGTTTGTAAAACAGTAATAACTGTATTTACTATTTTTCTTGCGTTTTACCCCTTCTCGCGCTAAAACAGCAGGTAACCATTTGCATATACGTTTCTCCCTCACTGCCCTTTTTTTCTGAGTTATGCATTTTTGTTTTTAATATTATATGAGATGAGTCGGACAAGAAGTGGGTACAATAGGCGTGGAAAAGATGACAAAATGGGAGTAAAAGATGATGTATGTGGGATGCGTTTCTTTTTTTTTTTTTTTTTTTAAGTGTAGAGGTGCCACTGCTCTTGCCGCCTTTCGTTGTTTTGCTTAAAAGGAGTGACAATGAGTCACCGGTAAAGAGGAGGGAAAAAAAGTGAGTTGCTCGGAGTGCAGACTATATATGATGCATCTCTTCACTCCATCCTATGTTACTTGTTGAGAACGTTGTCAAGAAAAATGTATTGCCGTTATGTTTTACTATTTTGTATAGTCTATGCGTTTCCGTGATTATGTTTACTACGTGTGCATCTCTACACTACTATTACTGTTTTTGTTCTCTTCATTTCTCCACTTTACGGTCGTGTAAGCAATGCATCCTTTCACAAGCAAAGTTGTTCGCTTTTCAATTGCACAGACCTTGGTTTTCCTTCTCTCCTCCTCATGTGTCTGTGTGTGCGTTTTTCAGGTCTGGTTTCTTTTGGGCTGCGTAGGCCTCACGCAGACTCCACCGATGCTCTTTTTAGACTTTTTTTTTTGTTTGTTGCTTCTCATTCTTCTTGTTGCTGTGGTACATTGCAAGGTGACAAAGAGGCACGTCTGGCGTGTGGTTAGCGGTGTACCGCGGTTCTCATTTCGATTAGGTAATTCAGTGCAATTTTACTTGAATGGACTCCTTGGTTGCGGGGGGAGCCGCTGGTCTTGTGGTGGATATCACTCTTTACCCAATCGACACCATCAAAACACGCCTGCAGTCAAAGAGCGGTTTTTCACACGCCGGTGGGTTTCGTGGAGTGTACAAAGGCCTTAGTGCTGTCGCCATTGGGTCGGTGCCTGGTGGTGCTGTCTTCTTTGTCGGCTACGATCTCACGAAGCGGTCACTTTTGAATGACGATGCAGCGAACAGCCCTAGTACACTGCGTCGATTGATGTCGCAAGCCGTAGCTGCGATGGCGGGCGAGACTTCAGCGTGCTTGCTACGCGTGCCCACGGAAATGGTAAAGCAGCAACTCCAGGCGGGTCATCACCATAACATTTACCGTGCACTGCTGCACATAACGCATAACACGCCGCCGGATGTCAACTCATCGGTGACACCTAAAGGAATACGCTGGCTCGGTATCCCGTGGCTTTTTACAGGCATGCCTATAATGTTGCTACGTGAACTGCCGTTTGCCGTGGTGCAAATGTCTTGCTACGAGGGACTTAAAGCATGTCTCCACACGGAAGAGAGACCGCAGTATTTGCCGGTGTGTGGGGCATTGAGCGGTGGTACAGCGGCGTTTGTTACGACGCCACTGGATGTGTTGAAGACGCGTATTATGCTTAGGCAGGTGGCGAGTTCGAAGCATGCACCACTCGGTGGAATTGCCGTGGTTCGTGCGGCATTTTACGAGTTGTTGTGTGAACCGCCGCGAGCATCAGACAAGTGGGGGAGGGCACAACGTTTTTTTAGGGGAGTTATTCCACGCGTGATGTGGATTTCCATCGGGGGAAGCATTTTTTTTACTACGTACGAGACTGCGCGTCATGGCTTCCAGTGGGTGAGGGCACCGTAACAGGGAAGGGCGAAGACGATATGACTAATATAATTGTTACCTGGGTATATGCAGGGGTGTCTCGCATGGAGGATGATGATGGTGTCACATCACTCGGTGGGCGAAACAGGGAGTGTGTTCAGGTGTAATTGTCGAGTAGCGGCACAGCTCCCACAGACACACACACACACTTGGGATGAAGAAAACAGCCCACACAAGCCTACATTTACACGTGTTAACGCTACATCACTGACAGTTGCTGCCAATAAATCTAACATTGTATTTGTTATGCTTATTTTGTTTGTTTGTTTTTCTGGAGAGGGGAAGGGGTGGTTTGCTCTGCTTTTATTCATTCCTGCGTAGGTCTTCTTCCTTAAGGAAGTTGTGCGTGTGTGGTTGTGAGTAGTTACGAAAAGGCGCTGGGATATTTAAATTTTAAAGCTGTAACGATAAACGTAACGGAATACAAAAAGGACTTGACTGAAAGCCATAGCAGAGAGGGGAGTGGTTAAGAAGGCATGCATCGCAGCAGAGGCGGCGTCAATGACATCAGAAGTCGCGGTGGCTCTGCGCGTGGTAGTGGACGGAGTGGTGGGCGTGCATGGTTGCCCCAATATTGTCAGGGGCACATGCCATCATCATCATTGCTGCAACTATCAAGACCGTCGCAGCCAGGCGCAGCGAGTGTCGATGAGAACCCTCAGGAAATGCTCGATCCTGCGCTAACGGTGTCAAGGCAAGGGGAAGCTGGCACCCAATGTTTTTGCGCGCATCATCAACATCCGAGGCAGTTTCATTATCAACAAAACCACAGAGTGCAGGTGATTCCCATAACCTCCGTGCACGATGGGACAAATGAAATTTCAAGGGTGCATACTGGGCTTGGTGTTGCTGATTCTGTTCATTTAAAGCGTCACGAAGTTAGCAGCAGTGGCGCCTATGAGGCATCCATGGGTGAGCATCCCCATAATACTTCTCCGATGGAAAGGAATGTGATGTTCCCCCCACCACTTTGGTCTGGCCCCCGTAGTAGTCTACATGGTTGGAGTCATTTTACAAGAGGTAGGTCAACACTGCCGCAGCAGTCGCGGCAGTCACTGCAGTCATCGGCTCCGGCACGTTTTTCTGGGGGGCGAGGAGCTAGAGTTCTTCACAGTGGTCAACGTACTCGCAAACCCAAAGATGGGATCCGTCAAAAGGCTTGTAGTCAATCCCTTGGTGGTTTGGAAAGAGCTGGTGGCACCCGAACTGTAGCTTTGGATTGCAGAGTTACCAATCTGCGAAGGCGGCAGCAAACTGAGCAAGGTACATCTTCGTTGCGGCAGAGGGGAGGGAGTTCTCCAAAGGTGGAGTTGTACTCTCATCAGTCACCTGTTTATGAGTTAGGCGAAAGCCGTTTTTCAACTCCATTGTGTCTTGAAACGAGCGAAACGGCAAACCCAGCAGCTTCGCAGCCATACAGAATCACTCACAGGCATCTGTGTTTTTCTAATTATTGTCAACATTATACTCCAGCTTCGAGCGAGGCTAGCGTTTCACCGGACAAAGTTGGTGCAACGCTGATTGTAACGGAAAACAGTGGATCGAAGGATACAACAACTGTAGAAACGGCGGTGTGGGAGCAGCGGCAGCAAGGACAAGGACAATATGAGCAACGAGAAAGTGAAAAGGGTTCTATAGATGATCTGGATTCTACTTCCTTACCACCTGCTAGGTGTGCTCAGGTACCCTCTTCAGATAAAAGCCCTTTAGTGCACTCGCCAGTGTCACTCTCATCAAAGCAGTTGCAGCGACAACCTCATCAAGCAGACACTGATAGGAATGACACGGGGCCAAACTATCTTCTTCCTCCACGACCAGAATGTTATTCTGGCTGCATCACCTGTTGTCTAGACCTTGATAACACTCTGGTGTATACATTTCAGTGGCCTCCATCGTGGTGGGACCCGGAGAACAATCCACTTCATCTTGAGATTGAGATTGACTCATCCTCGGCTAGAGTGAAAGGGTCGAATTTTGATAGGAAAATTTCTGACGATTACCGCAATGTTACGTCGCCCTCTTTTTTGTCTTCACAAAGCTTAGATTTGGACAGTGGCATGGATGTAACGGAGCCTCCATCACGAGATCAAGTGTGTCCAGGTATTTCTGATTGCCATTATGTCTGTATTCGACCACATGCGCTCGAATTTGTTCAATTTTGTCTGGCGAAGTTCGAGGTGGTCTTCTTCACGAGCGGCACAGAGGAATACGCACGACCAATCTTTGACTATTTGGAGCCGAAGCGAGTCGCTCACCGTCTGTACCGTCACCACTGCACAGAGTATAGGGAGGGAATGTACAGGAAGGACCTGTCGCTGCTAGGGCGCCCACTTGATAGTGTTATTCTCTTTGACGACCGTGGGCCTGACGCAAGCTTTCAGCCAAGAAATGTGCTGTTTTGTGAACCCTTTATTCTTGAAGAGGTGAATGACGCGTATGGCCTTTCTACAAAGGACGATGAACTGTGTGGATACATGGAGTTTCTCGAGATGCTGACAAACCTACAGAGGGAAGTGATGCTTCAGGCTATAGCGGCCTACCAGGAGGAGGTGATGAAGGTAACATTGGTGTTATTGACGGACGAAGTGCAGACACTGGAGGAGACAAGTGGGGTCGGCGCTGATGTAGGATGGAAAGAGAGCTCATAATTGAGAGACGCACAGCCCACCTGCGAGGGAGGGAGGGAGGGAGGTTCGTGGTGACATGAGGTCAGGTCCGGGGCGATGCAGTGACTAGGAGCAACCCAACAGCAACAAAAGTGAAACTTAATCCTCTCCCCAAAGAAAGTACGAAAAGAAGAAACAGACAAAAAAAAAACTTTTTTTTTTTCCTTTTTTGTACGTTGAAACAATGACAGGATGCGTGAAAGTAGTCTCACATAAGGAGGAGGCGCCGAATAGAAAAATTAGCACAGTGGACGAGAGCCATTTTTACAAAATACCCTTTTGGTAATAAAGATAAACAAAGTGCGATCCTTTTTTTTTTACTCTCTTTTTGTTTTTATCTTTTGATGTGGAGGTGATGGTAGAGGGGGAGGGGGGTTCTCCTCAGCTGTCTGTTGAGGCCCATGACGCAGTGTTTGGAAAAGCAACAAAAGACGGGGATTGGAGAGTATCCTAGAGAGAGGAAAGTGGGGAAAAAAAAGGAACCAATGGGGAAGAAATATCCAATATGAAAATTTTCTATGTTCTATTCCCTCCGTATGTGCGGTCAATGTTACTCCTTGTGCGTATCTGTTTCAACCTTGGACACAGGCAGACGTGATGAAGAGGAGAACATGCCTTGTGTGTGACTTCGGGCATATATATATATATATGCCTGCAGGTTTGTGTGTGTGTATGCTTTACGCAATCAAAAGGGTGAGGGAGTTGTGAGGCATGCACTGCACACATTTTCTGCGTATACGGCACAAGAAGACAATATTCAGC